TTGTGATGGTGCTTCTTGTGACCCAGGACCTCATGACATGTTGAAGTGATTGCCTCTTTGATCCCCTTCCAGTTTCTCTCCATAGTAGTTCCTTCTCCATTGAGTAGATCATGAAAGGCCTGGAACTTGCTGCTGAGGACTATCTTGAATTTGTTGAGTTTGTTAGTATCCTGAAGAAAGGCCGTATTGAACTTTTGTGATATTGTCCGCCCCGTTGTCCAGTGCTTCTTGAGTTTCAATTTCATCTTGGCAACCAGTTAGTGATGATCTGATGCTATATCAGCTCCTCTCTTGTTTCTCACGTCCTTCATCGTCCTCCTGAACATTTTATTGGTGCAAATATGGTCGATTTAGTTCTGTGTAGTGTGATCAATTGAAATCCATGTGGCTTTGTGTATGCCTTTATGTGGAAATATGGTGCCGCCTATGACCAGTTTATTGAAGGCACATAATTTTGCAAATCTCTCACCATTTTCGTTCCTTTCTCCCAGTCCGTGTCGTCCCATGGTGTCTTCATATCCAGTGTTGTCCGTTCCAACCTTGGCATTGAAACCTCCCATCAGAATGGTCAGGTCCTTTGTTGGGCACTTCTCGATGATTGAATGCAGCCTATTGTAGAATTGGTCTTTAGCGTCTTCATTGTAGTCGTTGGTAGGCGCATAGCATTGGATGACGTTCATTGAAATGCCCTCTTTCTTTGTTTTGAAGGAGACTTTGATGATCCTGGATCCATGAGATTCCCATCCCATAAGTGCATTTTGCGCTTGTTTGGACAGCATCAATGCAACTCCTTGTGTATGTGGGGCATTTTCTTCTTCATGGCCGGAGTATAACAGAAGCTCTCCTGAAGTCAGTCTTTGTTGTCCAACTTGCGTCCAATGTGTTTCACTGATCCCAAGTACGTCTAGGTTGTATCCCCTCATTTCTGCAGCAATTTGGAAGGCTCTCCCGGTGTCCCACATTGTACGAACACTCCATGTACCGAAATAAATGGTCGCTCTGGTTGTCAGAAGGGGCATCGACCTCGTAACTTTCGAAGGAATTCGGCTTCCATCATGAGGCGTCATAGTTCTTCTAAATGAAGACCTTCTGACTACCGAGTCAGAGTTCAAAAGGTTTGAATAATTTTTTCTTGTTAGCCCTTTTTTAGAGAGTTAGTTTTCTACGGGATGGGGACGTTAACCCCATGCCCAACCCTCTTCCTTTATCCGAGCTTGGGACCGGCAGTAGCCCCCGGAGGGACTCCAGGCTGAGTTAATCGACACCTGATTATTATATATTCTTTTCGATGCATGTCAGTAGACATGGTGTCTCTGATTTGGCCCTTTTGTAACTTGTACAGGGAAATGCAAATGCCTCACAAACGCACATGAATAGGTTATGCGAATAATAGGCATAATGATGTGTTTAAATAAACAAGAGAACAAATAACTTGTTGAACTATCCAGATGACAAAAGCAGATATATCAGACATTTAAGCAGGAGAGTTGATGAATATTGTTTGGTGAGCTAATATGTATGTCTGAGACAGGAAACTACTGAACGCTTCGGACAATAAATGTTCACGTAAGGCTGAGAAATAAGAGTGTAAGGCGACAAACGCGCATTCAGCCTTACGTAGTCACTTTTACAAGCATGTGTACTTGCAAATAGGAATACAATATTCATTGCGGACCAATTAAAGACTTGTCCCACAGGCAGCTTACCTCGTGGGTTAGTTATTTTAAAAATGTACAAACTTGTGTGTAAGCAGGGACAGTGTAACGACCAAAATTCTGGTGTTTGACTTGATCATAGACCTAACGAACCGAATTTTATTGATAAGACCAAAATACGTTCGTTTGTGTAGCGTACAAAGCGTTTATGAGTGACTCGCATTAAATCATATCAAAACACAGACTCTCTGTCTAACTTAGTGGGTATTAACTTAAGGACATGACAGATTATATAAAATGTGCAAAATACAAAGAACGGTAAAGTCTGTGCCACACAGACCGGCTTCCAAATGAAGAAAAGACTGGGAAAGATGATGGAGGTGGATATGACAAACTTTAAAGAAACCATTAAACTGTGTCACAGGGCAAACTCTAACTTGAAATTTTCATTGCAGAGGGAAAAGAGGCACATTGAAGGACACATGTCGCCATGAATTGTAGACAGATATCAAGAACAAGTAATTAGCATCAGCTGGATAGGTGGGTCCGGGACGGTTGATTGGAAATTCGTGGATTGTGACATTTACTAATGAGCTCATTCAAGCTACTAAATCTGCAGTCATAGACCGAAACTTTTTACCGACCACAGCGTGACTGTTTGATTTATATAATGTCACGAAGAAATCCGTTGATAGTCTGTCCTGTTATTCAATACTTTTGAAAAACAAGTTAGTCATACCGGCAAAGTACTCCATATTAAGATGAAAGATTTATATGTTATGGGCTTTCTTGTATAGCCGATTCATGTAGCCTGTATGTTCACTGAATTTTATCTTGCTATCAGCCGATCAGTGTCCAGGAATCAGTCTTTTAATGCAGATATACATTTCGTTCCAATGATCATTTTGCGATGATTCAGTGCCATTCCACTGTCCTAATAGATGTCGTGTTCTTCACTCCCCTTGGAAGTCAGGAAAATACTAGTGTTTACTTGCCATAGTGAAATTCTCCACTTATGTCAGGCTCCTTTTGGAATGAAATGGGCGGTCGCTACGCTACTTCACCTTTGATCATTTGTTGACTGGTTTATTCAGTGTTGTAGAGGCATATAAATGTCTAACTTTACTGCTTTCATGAACTGGTAGATTACGCAGTTTGCGCGTCAAGGGAGTTCCGATAGCACAACTTTATAGCCGCGCTGTCGACCCTAATTTGACAGGAGCAGATATGTTCCTATTCCATGAAGGTGTCTTGGCAGCAACTAGGCCAAACATGGTCATAACACGATTATTCCTATCCAAGTTAGTTTAAAAATGAGCTTTTCGATTATAAGCCGATAATTCGGGAGTAGACAATCTAGACTTGGTGGTCTTTGTTACAACTTTTGGGACTACTTTTTGATTTATTATTTGTGTTTTTTCCATGACTAGTAGGCAGTTGTAGCATTGTAATACCATATTCTCTTTATTGCTAACATATACTAGGTCAAAAACTGCTGTAATACGCTTTGTTATTCTTCAATTACTGCTTAATAATCATGTATTGTTCTCTTCGCCCTAAGCTACATGTATGGCTGTGCTTGGAGTTTAATTTCTTACTTGGTATGTTATTCGGTCTCATAATTAATTTAAATAAGTTAATGAGTGTTTGAGATAGTTGTTGGCTGTTTGAACAGGATGATTGAGATACAATACGTGGGGTAGAAAAATTAGCAGTAAAATTCTGATTGGGGAATTTAACACATGATATATATAAACCTCTCAAGTCATTACAGTTTTCCACATGTATTCTGCCATATGTTGACACCCATACATTCAAGCATTCCATAGCTTCCGAATGTTCGTCCATGACGCTTATTAAACGACACTAATGATGGGCCATAATTGTTATACTACAGATTTGTTGCTGGATGGTTTACGTTCTGGCGATGAATTATTTTAGCACTCCAGTTTTATTGAGTCCATGGCCTCCGTTAATAGGGGAGTGTATTCTAAGTAGTTTTATTGCCTAGATGTAGACGGAAAATGTATGGTATAATTTCAAATAAATCTCAGTGGCATACCGTTGATATTTTCAGAATAGTTTCACGTTTTTTTAGGAAGTTGCTGCGCGTCACCGAACTTCTGAAGTTTATCAGAAGCCATTATTTATAATCTGCTATCCCACCCTCAGTTTTTAGGATACTGGTTATTATATCTTCTGGTCTCCTCATGCCTAAAATTACCCGTTGCCTTGAGGATGTCACGGGTATTTGAAGCCTAATAACACTTGTCCATGACACCTTTATATTTTAAGGAACCCAAACCCAGTCAAACCAAAAGTCAAGAATGATGTAGTTCGAAGGTATATTGGGAAGATAGTCATTATATCGAGGTGTTTGGTCTAAGCTGTCTAGTTGCTATAAGAGATGTGTAGAACGGCGTTAACAGTAGAAATCTGGTGCGGATGTGCGACTAAGCGCTTTCAGTTAGGATGTCTCCAGTAAAACCAATTACATCAGCATCAATGTCTAAGACTTTCTGTACTACTTATTTCGAGGGTCTGTTTACCAATGAAATTTCTTCTCCTTGACTCAATTTACCGGTGGACATAAGAAGGAAATCTCCGGTGTGTCAAGGGGGATTTCGCGATATAGCTGCATTGATACCTAATGACATTTATGTTAATCCCCCAATTACTAGCTTCTGCAATTGTATCTAAGATTTTGTGATTTCTGAATATATTATCTTGACAAACGCGTGCTCTGTTGAATAAGGCACTCTTAGAAGACCTTTTTATGGATGACACGGTAAGAGATTTGGTGTTAAACCCAGGACATGAATGCCGGCACCAGTTCCCTGGAATGTCCAGTGAGATTCCTCAATAATACGTACGTACCCCTAAATCTTAAAGCCCATGAATATATCAACCAAAAACGTAACGTTTCAAGTCAGAACCACTTTCAGAAACCCAGAGAGTTCACGCAGTACGTTTATCCACTACAAATCTTACTTTCCTTGACCTTATCTATTTTTTCCGTCTTACTGGCGCTTTTCTCAGGGTAACAGGAAGATGGTGAGAAGTTGAGCATATGTGTTGCAAGAGTTGTCTGTTTAATGCTTTCAAAAACACTCAGGAAATCATTGTGTTGCAATTCACCGACAATTTTTCATGTCTCTACATACAGATTTCTATTGGGATTCAAGGGTGTCCTACTGCCAATAAACATCGAAACTTACCGACAGAAACACCAACTGGCGTTTAGCGTTTAGTTTGCTATACTTCAGTAGTTCATAAGCACTTTAATATGTTTGTGTATTCTCGTGTTGGATGTATTGTTAATTGGTATAATTCTATGTGCAAGGCGTTGCGCGTAATACAAGTTTTCGTGTTTACGCGTATCGGTTTGTTTCGTCTGTAAGGTACACTGGACTCCTGAGGTTCTTTGCAACTGGCTGACATAAAATCTAAACCTTATGTTAGGAAATGGACTTGGTTGCGGCCTTCAACACCGAGGTTAGTTGTAATTCATACGATTTACCTTGTTTAGTTAAAATCATTAACAGATTCACAACTGCCGGTTTCTAGAGCCAAAATGGCTTCGATAACAAGGGCCGCTATAAAGGCTTTGAAATATTATAAACATGTGGTACAGATTGTTGAGAAGTTTATAGCGAAATGTTCACCGGAATATAAAGTCCCTGGATTGTATGTAATCGATGCCATTGTTAGACAATCTCAGTACTTTTATCGCGAGAAGGATGTTTATGGACCCAGATTCCTTCGTAACCTAGTGCCTGTATTTATTTCTCTTATGGATTGCAATGAGAAAGATAAACCAATGCTAATGCGCATGTTGTATTTGTGGCAGAAAAGTTCTGTCTTTCCAGATGAAGTTATAAAGGCACTGTGCGGTGTTATATCGGATCCCAAAAATCCACAGGTTGTTGGAAAAGGTAAGTCTTTATGTTCATTAATTATTCTGTTTTAGCTAAGGAGGTCATCATTGAATCACTAAACAATTCCTCTACGAAGCAAATAATCATTGAATCTTCAGTCCCTTCACAAGCCACAGAAATACCCCCAACTGTAGACAACTGTGCATCTAGAGACGATAATGCAGTATCTGCTTCTGAGATCGCTAGTGATTGCGCCCAAAGGAACACAAGCGCTAAGGTTCAACTACTTCAACTACAAGTGAGTTTTATTGTGACATTTCGAAGAAACTGAACGATTTCCATATTTCATGTCGTTATATCTCTCTAAATCGTTTAAAATAACGTGGGTACGTGCAGTGCACTTACGGTCAAAATAGTATTCCGATAAAAGCATAGATTGACCAGATTTATAGTATAAATTATCCCGTTGGTCTTAACCATTTTTTAGTGGTCAGTAATTCATTAATATATACGAGGTTGATGCATGTAGTAAACTTGAATCTTAAGGGTTTTCGCGAATGAAGTTCAACTTTACATAAAAAGATGACAGCATTAGTTTCCAGTATTGAGTTTGTCACAATATTTTACTAATGTTTCCACAGGTCCCTTTCCTTAATTTGAGCGGCTCGTGCTTTTAGCATCAACACGTCAGACTTTGCATATGAGGGTTGCAGTATACTGATTATCTAAAAAATTACGTTCCGGGTCTCAGATTTTCGTCAATTTATTGAGTAAAGGTTCGCGTACTTGACTTTGAGCTATACCATATATGAGGGTTGATGATATTGCTCGGTTGCTTAAACTGAAGTAAGTAGCGTGAGGTTCAAACCTATAACCCAGTGGCTGAAATTTAGAAGTCTTGATCACTGAACTACAGTTCTAACAAGTCACAACCACCCTTTATATCCCAATCCTTATAATACTTAAAGTAGGGCTGAGTTTCGGATTCATATTTATTCTTTAGTTAGAAATTTGTCACTGATTCAGATAAATCCCATACACAATCTTTGTCTTAACCAACGTTTTATTAGATGAATTCACTTCGTTGTATTCACTCGTTTGTTCTGCCTCTATTATGTTCCCAACTCCCCACTGTTAGTCTCACTGTTTCTATTTGTTCTTCCTTTCTCCCATTTCTTTCTATGGGGTTTGTGGTAACTCCAAGATTTGTGCCAGGTGCTATTCCGTGTACATAGCTGTCTTGAGATTAGGATGGCGGGTAGGGTAATACGAATTGTCAGAGTGTGGTAGTAAAAACATCTAGTTTTATTCAGCTTACTGTGCTAAACAAACAAAATTAGCAAGCCTAACATCACGTATCCCGTCTTGTTGAAAAAAATCTCCAGACTTGAATGGAATCAGGCTGTTGTCACGTACACTAAGGTGAATAGTCAAATTAAAAACAAGTAAGTCAATGGTCTTCACATTTTATAGGAGTAAAATAAATAGTGGGTTGGCCGACATCAAAGGAGTCATCTAAAATTTAAGTCTGAAAAGTGTTGGTTTGCTAAACCTAGAGATTAGGACAACTCATAAAGCTTTTAGAACAGACACTAGGGACTACACAGGATACATTGGGAGTTACTGTTCAACATCCAGTTAGAGGTTAATTGAGATACTGAATGTTGGTTATTACAAGAGTAAATGGAATGAAGAATAAAGTCCAGTTCACTATCTATTGAACTTAGTAACGTGAACAGTTGCAGACTTTCTGTCATTCCCAAGATGATAAATAGCTTGAAGCCCTAAGGAACTGAACTGGGAATCGGTCTCATTTGTTCAGACGTATTAATTCTGTCTTTGTATAAATCTTGTTATGAATCTTCTATTCACTCAGTCCTTTTGGATCATATTCTTTGCATTCATCAACCTTAAAGTCAACCTGTGGGTCGGTAGAGTGATTAGAGTCAATTGGATGTTCAAGAATTGGACTTCTAACTCCCTCTTGCCCTTGTAGAACCACACTGCAACATATTCTCGTATCTGAGTTGAAAGCAGACTCTGGCTACGACTTATATACCTTGCTCCACTTGAGCAGGTGAACTTTTAGATGCACATGGAGGCGACCAGACGAGAAAGCTTATCCTTTACGGATACAGAAAACAGGTTCTTACTAATGAGCACTATCCACAGCTTTGTTGCATAGAACGTCCTTTTTATCGCTGCCGTCAACTGAGTTTTCATTATATCAGAAATTGGGTCACCTTTAAATTACATGTTCATATGAAGGTACCTCTTTCGGACTAAATTATCGGATTCCTTGTCTCGATTTCTTTTTCCATATTCTTCCGTATGAAGCGGCTTGGATAGCTGTTTTCAGACAATTAGCACCCAGTTATCGATTAGTTATATTAATACCGGTTGTCCGATTTCAGGATAATAGAAGACTAACTTTAAAGTTCAAACTTTTGTTCACATACTCGAATTCGATCTCAAGATAAGGAAAATTTATGGGATTATTAAGTCTCCAATATAAATAAAAACTATTAACTTGTGCTGGGCTTTGTATCCACACCCTAGATTTTAAAAAATTTCCGACGTAAAAGTTCATAAAGTTAGTATGTCAGTTCTTTGACTATCAGACCTCGTTTTTTTGATGAATTATATAACGTAACAATTTGAGCCGATGTACATATGTTCCAGATTCTACATTGTATGTAATTGTTTGCTGAATGAATAATCCTAATTGTCTAATTTTCCTACAATGTCGACTACTTAACAAAGATTATAGAAGAATATTTTCCTTCTGGTTTTAAAGAAAATTAAAATACTGATTTCTTACCAATCTTTCATAACTTATCCGTATATTCATTTCTCCACTGTTTAGTGAACGAGTACAATAGTTCAAACTTAATTCGTTTTTTTAGAAAAATGGACAGAGTAATGCTATACTTATGATTCCATGGCTTAAATTTTCTCTGAACCTTTTTTATAGGCTTTACAAAAAAAGATTGCTGAACAATCAGCATTACTTAATCAAGAACAAACAATTGATCCGGAGGTGCTGACACAAATTCATATTCTTATGTCAGAACTAACTAGACGAGCAGAAGCAGCAACAGTTCAACTTGCTAATGAACAAGCCAATGAAGATTTAAAGTAGGCTGTTTTTATTTGTTCTTTGATATAATCAAGTTATACATATATAGCACTGGATTCTCCTATTTAATAAAAGAATAGCTTCATTCTAATTGAGCACAAATCTGTCACTCAGTTGACCTTTAGTTTTAACTCTAAGTTCAACTACACTTAATAGTGTTTTTTAGTTGTTGGCTTTGTGATTTAAATCTTAAACTGTCAATTACAAGTTGTAGCTTTGAATTCATGCCCATTACCTATCACGACTTTTACGCTTAGCCATCACCTATATTGACGGATGATGTTGGTATATTAGTAAGTTCGAAGAAAAGTAGGAACAGCCAAGCCAATAAATGACAACATCGGTCCATAAGCTCATTAACTATCTAACCAGGTCATGGTGGGGAATTCAGACCACGTGGTTTTAACCCATGGGATAACCGAGGTCAGTGTCTGGATACATTTTATGACATTTGTCAGAATCTGTCACTGACTGAAATGCATTAACCCTTTTTTCCTCCCCTTAGATCCTAATTCTTAGTATCCCTTCATACATACATTTTCATTTCTTCTCAGACCTTTTCCTCAACGTTTAGTCTTTTTCATTATCACAGTCAGTCAGTCAGTCAGTAACAACGTAGAACTTCGTACGCACGTACATCAGTTCGAGTTGCCACACCACAGCACAGAGATGCAGTTGTCGATTCAAATCCCATAGTGGTAGAGGTAATAAGAGTATAAGCAGTAATCAGGAAAATTAGTGTTTAGAGATGTTATTTAAAGAGTATAATACAGTGAAATAAATTTGGGAAGATAAAAAAAGAGACAAGGAGGAATAAGGAGATCAAAATTTGGGAGAACACAAAGAGTGTATGCACCTGCGCCATTGCAAACGATTTTGAGCCATGTCATTGAAGGTCTCTAACCATCGGTTGCTATCATCTCGCGGTCCCCAGCCAGGTAGTCTACACCTACCAATATGACTCAGTCCACTTGTCAGTGACTTCATGGATTTGTGCCATGATTTAGTCTGGCCGCCCCTAGCTTTCTTCCAACCTACTCCTATACCACTGAACATCGCACGTCGAGGCAGTCGGTGGTCGGGCATACGTAACACGTGTCCCAGCCATATCAACTGATGAAGTTTCTCTACGTCATCAATTGATTTCCCATCCTTACCTAGTACCCGTTTCCTGACCACTGCGTTACTTACTCGGTCGTTCCAGGATATACGAGCAATGTTTCGAAGACACATACGATCGGATACTAGTAACCTACGAATATCCTCTACTCTTAGCGGTCATGCTTCACAACCATAAAGTAGGACAGAACGAACTGCTGCGCAGCAAACCAGTCCTTTAGTTGGTAAACGGATATCTCGTCTATGCCATAAATGACGCAAGTCGGTAAAAGCTAGTCGAGCCTTCTGTATCCGTGCTGAGATTTCGTCACACACCAGACCACAATGACTGATGAGACTTCCAAGATAAGTGAAGCGATCGACACGCTCAACTACTTCACTCCCTATCATTAGTTCGGGTGTCAATGCAACCCAATCCTGAAGTAACATTTTGCATTTCGAGGGGGATAATCGCATCCCGAACATGCTTGCATTGTTGCTTAGAGTGGTCATAAGACTGCATTTTGTCAGCGTCTTCACCAAATAGAACTATGTCATCTGCATATTCTAAGTCAACAAGTGAACCTCCCGGTAGGAGTTCAACCCCTGGAAATCTAGACGAGGAAAGTGTTATCTCTAAAAGTACGTCGACGACAAAGTTACTGCACTTTCTGGACTCATTTTGCCATTTATCTTGTTAATTTTGTCATCGTGCTAACGTGTGATACAGCGACTTAGGCAAATGCATGTTTGTGCCAGACTCTACGTTGGTTATGATTGACTTAATGATACCCTCTTCCATCCATGGGTTTCGACAAGTAAGAAACACTAAAAATACAAAAAGTTGTGAACTAAAGAGGTTCTTCAGATACTAGAAATTTCCTAAAAGTCTGGCATTCAGGTCAATCAACAATCGTTAGTCATACTAATGTAGGACAGATCTATCAATCAATCAATTCGATGTTAATCAAATCACGATATAGCTTATTAACAAAAGGATTATTGGAAACATGGATAGGCATATTGCTGACTACTTTTGAAGCAAATCAATCAAGCTATTATTTTTTGGTGATAACTAGAAAGTTCACTTCAAAACCGATGAAATTACACAGTCCATTATCATTAGTAGTTTGATGCATCAGTCGTAATTTATAAACGAAGCACGCCACACAACTACGACTGTGTTTTCTTTACCATTAATATTTTTCTGGTGGTTTTATTAGCATCTGTCCTCGTCGTCCTAAGTAATTTACATCAATTTAAGCTGGTTATAAAGTGTACCACATAGTCAATGTTTTTAAAAGTTGTATTAATTTGTAGTAATCGACTACTAAGCATTGGCTAGTTCCATGCTTAGTTCTTAGCTTTAGCCAAATGAGGTCAATCTACATATATTGAAATCTAGAGTAAGCTACACTAATCTTCTTCATCTTTGGTCCCTCTACGACGTTAGTCTGACTAAAAGGTCATGTGTACATTGTGTCGATCAGATTAGAACAACTATCAACCTCCTGCATTGATGAGAACATAGGACTTATATGGCCTACTGTACATTCCGACCGTTAATTTACTCTTCAAATCATTATTGATGAAGTGAATTTAGGAAGGTCTCCTTTGCACATTAGCACTAGAATGATGATATGAAATAATAAACAAGTCAGCTAAACAACTTGGTTTATTTTTGTAAGAATTCTGGTGATGTTTTGAACACAAGGTTTAGAGTTAAGGCAAATGTATTCCCATAAATTGAGAATATTTTAAAAGAAATAGGGTTGACTTAACTTAAATTTTATGAACTAATTTATTTATGATCTTAGTTGGAACATTTATTGGATAGACTGTGTTCATTCTTTATACTTAAAAGTGAAATGGAACTTCTTGATTATGTTCGTAATGGAAGTGTACCTTTGAATAGATACTTTGGTTGATCATTTCATTTATTAGTTAAATGATCACTACCTTTTTTCCTTTCTTTTAACAATGTTATCCTTCTAATTTATATGGAGACTTTTTTTTTTTGCTGGGTCCCCTGTTGTGTATCAAAATGTTTTGTGTTTTAGATAACATTACTAGTTAAATATAGGGAAATCATAGAATGTGCTGAAAATTTTTTCACTTTTCGATGAAGTAATATTCACTTAAGCTGACCACTTCAATTTTACCGTCTGAACTGTTTGTGACAATGTAGTTTAGTCGGATTTCTTTCACATATACATACATACACACACACGAGAACAAATAAAACTTTCTATCTGACCACATTTTTGTACTGTCCTGTTACTTTGAACATGAGAAAACTTTACGTTATGTATTAATTGCTTCCGCAGAATCAATCTGTTTTACTCACTTATTATGTATAACCTGTTTATGTCCTTATGAAATGCTACAAAGTGTTTGGTTTTTGTGTTGTGTTCTCTGAGCTAGATAGTTTCATTGGGAAGCTTTGATTATCCTTCTTTTCAAAATCTTCAGCGCCTACTTATGTTGCGTTAAGCTTTTTGGTTATTTCACAAGTATTCTATTAGTTCATTCCAGTGGTCACGTTTGTGAGTGGTTGTTTTCGTAGGTTGTGTTAGTTTAGTTGTAGTCTTGCGACAAGTTGATTTCTTCCTTATGGGTTCATAGGTTAAAACTGTATTGATGTAGTTTGCGATTGACCTAAATGACATTATTTTAGAAATCCCCTGGTAATCTTGAAGTTTACCTGGTTCGAAATTCCGAGTTTCTTTAGTCGAATTCATATCCTTAATTGTTTGTATTAACTGGTATCACATCACATCGTTTCAGTGTTAGTCTTTGTTCGTTGATGCGTAAGTGAATGGGATGTTCATTACGTCCAAAATATTGATAAAACTTTGCATTTAAAGAAGTCATTGTATCACATTCTCATAGTTACTGTTCTCTTTATTCTGCAATTACAATGATTTTACTCTATTTTCCGTTTTTTTTTCTTCTTGTTCACCTCTCAGTGTGATTGATCCAAATTTGTTGGCACGAATACAATCGATGGTTGATACATTGGCGCATACTCGTGTATTACAAAAACAACTAAATCAAGCACGAGCTGAACGTCATCACCATCAACAACACTCAAGATATCAGCAACAACAATCAAATACTATTGTCCGATCTATCAATGGTGTAACAGCTGGTCAATTGGAAGATGATACAAAACTAATTCGGGTTCGTTGTTGTTGTTGTTGTTGTGTTTTAAATGATTTATTAAGTTTATTTGCTTATTGTTCAATTTCATGGAATATTTTGGTATTTTTAGAGCAATTTCATTAAAAATAATTGTATATAGACTTCATAAATGAATTGATCAAGAATAAGGTTGAATTAGAAATTATCATTTTAATTAAATGATTAACATTTAGTTATTTAAACACATAAACATTAGTACAAGATGGCATCAACTAGATATGCGCTACATAAATCATCCGATTTGTATGAGGGCTGTGATACTGCCCGGGTGCTCAAACTGAAGCAGGTGGTTTTCTTAGGGGGGGGCATACCCGGAGCCTTTGACCTAAATGTCTGATCCACAAGGCAGTGGAACAATGTCAGGAGATGCAGTTCTATGGTAGCCGGTGACCAACACTAAGTTCACACGCCATTTGTTCCCTTAGGATCATGGAGCCCATGTGCACCATTTGTTTGAAATCAGGGTTTCCCGATTCCCTTAGATGGATCTTCCGCGTCCACCAACGCGGTTAAAGTGCAGAGCATTCGTTTTTCATCCTCTCAATTTCGTGAACAACAGTGATGCCGCGAGAAGGCAGTGAGTAGGACATCCCTGGCAGTGATTGTATGCACGTTTCCATGTGAGAGTATTTCTAGGGGGAGAGCTGATGCATTTGAGGGCAAATGATTAACAAGGTGAAAGGTTTTCCCGACCCTAGATTTTAATTCATATTGTTACGTATGTGGTGGAGAAAATTCCATCATTGGATAGTGTGTTTCGTTGTAAGACTAGTTAGTATAAATCTTATGATAGATTCTATGTAATTTTGGATTGCTTAAAAATGAGTGATGGCTTTCCCAAATAATTAATTCTTAAAATGTTTGGTATTAGCGAATAGTAATCTTCAACAGTATGATTCAGAAAGAATGAATTCGTGGAACAGAAAAGCATAAGGTAATTTTCAAATTCACGATCCAATGGAAGATAACAAGTGGATTCAATTGTCACATACCACCACATAGGGTCTCTAACCACTGATCGTGGTTATTGGATGGAACACAGCCACCTAGCCTACACTTATTGACTTAACTTATTTTATTAGTCATTGACTTTGCAGGCTGTTATTTACGTTTACCGGCAAAAATCACACGTCAAGGTAGGCTCTGGTTAAGCATACATAATACATGTTACAACCAATATTGATGCGGAGACATGATGCAGAGTTAATTTGAAAACGAGAACATTTTTTTTGGTCAACTTGTTTTTCCCTCTGTTCCGTTACACGTAAGTCAAAGAAAAGTGGTTGACAACAGTATGTATTTCACATACTTCTTTAGGTAGGCGTTCTTATTTCTTTAATAATTCGACTGTTTTTTTTCTAAAATCGCCTTAACATAAATGGTCCAGTATTTTCACAGTAATGTTGGTTAATTGATGACAGTCTGTAGTAATCCCCCTGTGGCTCTAGATTTTATGCTAGTTAACAAATGATTGCAATACATTGGGTATTTTAAACAAGTCACTGTTCGTGCAAACTAATAAAGGATCTTCCAATCGATTTACCTCATTTGCCTAACATCAAACAATCAGACGGTCCCCAATGTTCCATTCAACTGTATTGTCTTGTCTTTTTTGTCTCTTACTTTTTTAGCCTACAGATAACCGTGGTGGTTTAGTTAGTTCAGTTAAACTAAAAACAGACACTTGTATTCGAAATGATTCAAATAGATTAATACGACCTACAACACCTCCATGTTTATCAGATGCTGAAGATGATCCTGGAATTTTACCACAGTCATGTGATAGAAAACTTCACTTAACAAAAAAGAATAAAATTGCAAATAGAGCTAGTTCAAAACATTTAGACTCCAAAGTAAGTTAAATTGTGATTATTATGTATGATCGACTGATAATGTCTTTCTGTCCGCTTATCAAGGATTCAGCTACAAATATCATGTCAAAAGCAATTTATCTTAACCTACTAAATTGGCCACCTTGAATTTCATTTCAAAAGTTTATGTATACTGTCCTGGTGTGGTTTATTGGTTGCCTCTGTGCAATGTGTTGTTACATAATATTACTATGGAATTTTTTAAACATTATCGAAGTCCTCAGTTGTATTCGTAATTTCATCACATCTCAGCGGTCCTCTGAGTTGTACAAAACCACAAAAGCAGACTCAGCATTTCATCGGGGTTGGTGTATGCGAATAGATTAACTGGAAGAGTTGGAAACCCCTGCTTGCAAATAATACGCGGATATAAACTTCAGAATTCTTAAGGAGCGAATAGCATATGAACATAATTTGGTCTCTAACTCCCCCTAGATAATATCTAGTGTTGCTCCGCTGCTCTATGGACTAGATCTTTATTACATCTACTTAGGTTCAACGCAACGGAGATAGCATCACTAATCGGGTTCAAAGCCTCACATACACTAACCTATACCTGTTGAATGCGGTACATTGACGATGTGTTTATGGGTTTGTATATATTACGGTGTTTTGCTACTTAATTTAATACTTCAGAATATTAAACTTTGTCATTAAGACCTTTTGTATTGGTTATTTTGATCTTCTCATTGATGTTTAGGACTGAAATTAATCGGTCTCTTATTGGCAAATGTACATCCTGCACACATTACCTCGATATTGCCATTAAGTCACAAGCACTATAAGCACAGACAGATGATAGTTAGCAATGATATTCGCGACGCCTATTTGCCTTATTTGGGACTCGTCAGCTGGATGTACCTGCACTCAAGAGTTGAACAGTTGCATTCCTGAACATCAATGGGAAGATTCAAACAACCAATAGAAATGAATTGAACTTCACCTTATTGCACAACCTAACCCATTGGCTACCTGGACTTAGTAGCTAAGTGGATAACTTGACAGCGTTTGATGTAAATGGTACTGAGCTTGAGTCACGGAGTGAAAATCAACTATGGAATGCAGGTATACTCAGCTGATGAGTCCCAAATAGGACGAAGCCTATGTTCTGAATTCAACTGCAACTCTTGAACGTGTTTCTTCTGGTTACTCAACAACATCTAGTGACATATGTATCTTTACGAGTTTCGAACCGCTGAACTCAAGTTTAAGCGGACAGTTTAGACCTTTTTAAAAAAATTATCTTTTGTTTGATTCCAGATGAAGTTTTCAGCATATATGATCATATCATTTTGCTTATAAGTAACTTGTTATTTATGTTTACACTATTTTTATGAATAATTTGTTTTATCAGTTCTTAGATGTTACTTTTCATGATTCCAATGTCTGTCAGGGTTCACGTAAACATCATATTTATGATTCGCATCCAATGCATAATTTCGATAGAGAAACTAGTCATGTCGATGGATTTTTACCATCAGATAACTCTTCATTTTCCGATCGAAATAATAATAATATTAATCATAATAATGATCAAGTTCATTCATTTCGAGAACATACAAATCGACTTGTTTCAGAATATGAAAATTGTGATGATTGGAATATTTCATCAAGTCAAAGAGTTCGTAATAAATATAGTCGGTAAGTTTTTGTCCCTACTTTTATCCGATTCTGTCCTGATATAATTGATGCTAATTGTTTGTAATTAATCAGTCAGTCAGCTACAACGTAAGACCAGGCACATATATGCATCGATCCAAGTTGCCATACCTCACTCATTAACACAATAAGATGGACACAGGATTCATAAAAGTTGTTAATTCAGAGGTGGTAATATATAAAAGAAAGATTGAACATAAGGATATAGTACAGGAAGAAGAATTAATTCGTAGAGAGAAAGATATGAGGCGGTTTTGATCTCATAGTTTAAGGGAAGACAGAGAGTGTATACACAGACGCCATTGTGATCGATTCTGAGCCATATCACCAAGAGTCTCCAACTGTTGGTTGCGATGTCACGCGGACCCCAAGGAAGTAGTCTGCATCTACCAACATGGCTCAGACTAGAAGTTATTGACTTCAATCACTGATGCCACGTTTTGGTTTGGCCGCCCCTAACGTTTGTCATTAATAGTAGGTTGTGTATTGTTTACTTATCTTTTCAGGGTAATAGTAGTATCTTATTTTTGAGTATAACATCAACGTTGAATGAAAACTAATCCTATTTGTTTTTTTTTGTTGTTAAATTTCCTAATGCATTACTCTTTTATGTGCTCTATCTTCAAACGAAATGTTTATTGGAAGCAGAAATGTTGAAGATGAATTTCTCCGCCTCTGTATGCGAGTTATTACTTCAACAGTGATTTCAATCAACGCATACTCTGACTTATAATAGAGAGCGAAGTGATCGAGCATACTTACCACTTCACTTTTTTTTTAGAAATCTCATCAGATCTTGTGGGGTAGTAGTAGCTAACGAAATTTTAGGATGGACTCAGAAATTTTTATCGGCTTTTATCATCTATGATGTACCTGAAATGGCTATGAAAGATGCGAGTATATTGCGTAACAGTCTGGTTTGTTCATCCTAAAAACATTTCTTGCATATGACAGGAAAACGGAGTTACCAGTGCTGAGGTTGGATGTAGGGTACTCGGAGATGATAAATTGTTTGATAAAATTATGAGTCGTCGTCGGCTACTGTATCTGAAACATCTGTGACGTATGTTCAACCATTGACTACCTTAATGCAAAATGCTGGGTAGTATAGGAATGGTGTAGAAGAAAGTTAGGAGTAACTGAAGTAAGCTGTGATACCAGCTTATAATATCATTAAGTGTTGAACTGTATCGTTTTGATAGATATACAAAAGATAAATTTTACTCACTCACCAGGTACTTAGATATAAGCCGCAATCTAGTTGTGAAAGCCAATGTTACTACCCAGGTGCCCAAATCGGAGTAGATGGAGTGCGGTTCGAACCTGGAAATAAATGGTTAAGGTGTCTGCTAGCTACCATAATCTCTGCTTATAATATTTGATTTTCGCTTACTCAATCGCCACTCCAGATATGGACTTCCTGTTAGTGGTCCACGACTTAATGGTCATATGCATAGTCAAAGACTATTTGACATGATTCAATATAGGTTCCAGTTGCACAGATCCGCTCATTCTTTATCTTTATCCAAATTTCGTGTTAAATGTCATTTTATACTTTATTATTCTGTAGTCTCATTTGTTCTATTTCTCATGTTGATATTTCCGATTATAGTTTAAACTATTCCCCCCTTCCTTGTTTATCATCTAATTTATTTCCTCTCTCACTATTGCTGGTTTAAGATATTGCTGTAACTTGAATTGATACAACTTTGTTCTAGATGGTCTCACATTGATGATAAATTATATCCTGTTAATATGTTGATTGGTTAGTCGAAAATTCTTCTTAGTGAGTTATTTTTCGACATGAATTTATTCTTGTGAATCTTCTCAACCTGCAACTCCCATTTATCGTTTCCTTTTTAATAGTCTCGATTCGTACGATGATCGTGTTGATCCTCCTCATTCTCATCATCATCGACATGTTTTTCTTGAATCACATAAACTTGATGTATCCGACAATGAACCTGAACACTCAGATCAATTTGTTGATGATTATGCTTCAGACTCACCTATTCTGAGTCCTGTTCGTCGACGTTTTGACGATAGTCTGTTTCAAAATGATTCAGTATCACCAACTGAATCCGACCCAAAACATCGTGAACGTCGTAGAAAACATCTTGGCTTGCCTACATTAAAACCAGATCATGTTGGGATTTTATCGCATACAGTGTTTATTGGTCATTTACATAAACAATTAGCTGAAAGCAAACTAACAGCACTTTGTTCAGAAGTAACTGAAGGTCAAGTAATTGAATGTAATTTTATTCCACCACGTGGGTGTGCATTTGTTACATTTGCTACTCGAAGAGCTGCACATCGTGCAGTGACTCACATGGATCAATCTACATTGAGTGGTCGAGAAATTAAAGTAGCCTGGGCTCCAAATCTCGGTATTAAATCAAGAGAAGATTACGTCACTAATTATTGGGATACTGATGAAGGTTGTACTTATTTACCGATAGAAGAAGTTGTAAAATTAACACGTCCCCAATTCGATGATCTTTTAGCTGGTTGTGGTGAAGTTGATGAAGAATCTCTCACTGATCCTCGACTTAGAGGTTTGATCATGATGAACAGTAATAATAATAATGATAGTAAAACACAATCGATTAGTAGTCCTAATGTAAAGTCTGTTAAGAGGCTACAAACAACACCAACCACTCAAAAATCTACAACAAACACCTCGACAAATTTATCAGTATCAGTTTATTCTCCTGTTGTTGTACCACCGTCTGTCCCAATGATATTAACTCGTCCTATACCGCCAATGCAGCCGATGGTTCCTCGGTCAGTCCCATTAATCCTACCTTTAGTAGCGGGTATGTTTTTCGTATTTTTCTTGAATATTTTGATTAATCTTAACTCAATTATTAGTTTTCAATACACACTAACATCATAAAAATAATACAGGGGAAAAAGGTTCACTTAGTGGAGACACTGATAAAGTGCGAAGTCTTATAATCATTCTGAGCTATAGCGCAAGCGCATTTAAAGTGGGCTTTGTCTCTTAAATGCTAAATGTTGCATCAGGACTAGTCCAGACCAACACCTAAACTAATGCTAGGATGTGAAGTAGTTTAGTGCATTGACCACTTCATTTATCTAAGTGGTCTAGTCAGTTGTGATGTGTTTGTGTCTGATGAAATCACGTTACGAATTCGGAAAGTTCGGTTGACTTTTGGTCAATTGTGTCACTTGTGGTGTATGTGGATTGTCCATCTACCGACTAAAGGACAAGTATATTGGACAGTAACTCGTCCTATCCTACTTTATTGTTGTGAAGGATAGTCTATGAAAGTAGATGTGAGTAGGCCGAATGGTTTTTGACCATGAGGTCTTGAAAGCGTTGCTTTATGGATATGAAATGTGGCCTCTTAAAAATAGAGGATGCTCATAGATTATTAATATTTGACTATAGATGACTTTAAAGGATCGTTTGTGTATTTTGAGATCACAAACTGAGGACTAGATAAAGATAGCAAATTGATTGATCAATTAATAAATCTGCAGTGACTGAAGTGATTAGGATACGTTCCACTTGTGTCTATGATTAAATTTTTAACTGTTGAACTGAGCCATGATGGTAGGTCTCAGGCTACCTGTCTACGGTCCTTGTGAATTATATTGACCAATGATTAGAAACTTTAAGTGAAATAATTCATTCTTTAGCTTCTTTGAGATTATGAGTTTAAAAATCATCTTTTACTTTGTATTATATGAATTCACTTTTTTCTTATATCATATTTTCTGCAACTACTGATACTCAGTCAGTCAGTCAGTCAGTCAGTAACAACGTAGAACTTCGTACGTACATACATCAGTTCGAGTTACCATACCACATTAGCACAGAGATGCAGTTGTCGATTCAAATCCCGTAGTGGTAGAGGTAATAAGAGTATAAGCAGTAATCGGGAAGATTAGGGTTTGGAGATGTTATTTAAAGAGTATAATACAGTGAAATAAATTTGGGAAAAGAAAAAAAGAAACAAGGAGGATTCAGGAGATTAGAATTTGGGAGAACACAAAGAGTGTATGCACTTACGCCATTGCAAACGATTTTGAGCCATGTCATTCATAGTCTCTAACCATCGGTTGCTATCATCTCGCGGTCAAAGTATCTCACTGATACTATTATTACTTTTACTACTCTGATATTTATCTTGATAATTTCATATGATTGTGTTGATATGATGTAGCAACTGGAATCCATTGACATATATAACAGGTTCTACGTTTCATATAACTAACTAGTAGAATTGGTTTTTAATTCATATTCTTCATTTGATCTGTATGAAGTTGATTAGTATATAGATAGGTATCACATATGGTTTCCACTTATTTATGAATGTACTTATTAACTCATTATCAGGTAAAAATAAATACGTTTAGTTGGTTACGTGCCACATCATCTAAGTCTAAAGACTAATTATTGATAATATCTGATTATTCAAACTAAAGTAGATAAAGTAAGGTTCGAAACTACAACTTATTGGCTGAAACTCGAATACCTTACTAATCAATAAACTACTGTTCCACTAAATTAGTATCAGTTAAGGAGAATCATTTATCTAAAGCTCTATACATTGTTCCAAATTAATAATCACTGTCACTGGTTATTCAAATTAATTCAATAAACAAACCAGGTAGTCTTGTTTATATTTTAATCATCATTTGAATACTAACTAAGTTTTTGTATCTCATGGACTTTTATTCACTAGTTTGTAGGTTCGAACCTCACTACACCTTTAATTTAAGCAACTGGGTAATATCATCAGTCCTCACACTTGGATTGTAGCTTGAAGCGGAGTCTTCTGACCACTATAAGCAATAATGCAAGCATGTTCGGGATGCGGTTCCCCTCCTCGAAATGCAAAAGTTACTTCAGGATTGGGTGGTATTGACACTCGAACTAATGATAGGGAGTAAAGTAGTTGAACATGTCGACCGCTTCACTTATCTTGGGAGTCTCATCAACCGCGTCGTTTATGGGGTAGGCGAGATATCCGTCTACCAACCAAAGGACGGGTTTACTGCGCAGCAGTTCGTTCGTCATACTTTATGGCAGTGAAACATGGCCAATAAGGGTAGAGGATATTCGTAGGTTACTAGTATTCGATCATAGGTGTCTTCTAAACATTGCTCGTATATTCTGGGACCACCGAGTAAGTAACGCGGTTGTTAGGAAACGGGTACTAGGTAAGGGTGGTAAATCAATTGATGACGTAGTGAAACTTCATCAGTTGAGATGACTGGAACATATATTACGTATAGCCAACCACCGACTGTTCCGACGTGAGGTGTTTGTTGGTGTATGAGTAGGATGGAAGAAAGGTAGGGGCAACCAGACTAAAACGTGACACAAATCCATGAAGTCACTGACAAGTGGACTGAGTCATGTTGGTAGGTGTAGACTATCTGGTTGGGATCCGCGAGATGATAGCAACCGACGGTTAGGGACCTTGAATGACATGGCTCAAAATTCGTTTGCAATGACGCAAGTGCATCCACTCTTTGTGTTCTCTCAAATTCTAATCTTCCGAATTCTTTATGTCCCTATATTTTTTCTTTTCCCAAATTTATTTCACTGGGTTATACTCCTTAAATAACATCTTCAATACCTAATCTTTTCGATTACTGCTTATACTCTTACTACCTCTACCACTACGGGATTCGAATCGACAACTGCATCTCTGTGCTAATTTGGTATGGCAACTCCAACTGGTGTATTTACGTACGAAGTTCTACGTTGCTACTGACTGACTGAATTTAAGTAATAATAAAAAACTCAAATCTCACATTATACTATCTTTTGTGTTGAAGATGAGGCAATCAATATGCAACAATTACTCATACTAATAAATCAGTCAAACGGTTTCTATTTTGTTGCATTTATATACCATCCACGTTCTTAATTTACCACTCCATTTCATAGCCATTTGATAAATTGGATTTAAATTCCACTAAATTACCTGTTATTTTTCATTATTCCTCTTGTTTTCAAAGCATCAGTTCCACGTATGTCAGTCCCAACACAACCATTATATTTTCAGCAGAACAATACAACAGCTACTTCTAGAGCACCTCCACCACCACCTCCACCTCCTCCCCCACCACCTCCTCCACCGCCACCGCCTCCACCCCCTCCTCCTCCACCACCACCACCTACACAACCGTCAATCACCCCTCCCCCTCCCTCTGCCACTATATCATCCCAACCTCATTCAACAGCCACTACATCGGAGTGTCAGTGGAATCCTGGAATTAATGCGAATCATCGTGTTGTAAATCAGCAATTATTACAACAAAATCGGAAGCCAGAATTGTCAACTTCAAGTTTTGCCGGGCTTAGACCATACAACAGACCACCATTATTGCCACATACTTTTCTTCCACGTAAGTACACATTATTATTATTGTTATTATTACCGTAAAGGGATCGTGGAGATTGTTGGATTTCTCAGTTTTAATCTGAATTAGATAAATATGAAGAACTTGGAAAGACTGGACAGCTGTTTCGTCCTATTTGCGAAGTTCTCAGCTATCCTCATCCACATCAGTGATCAAACGCATAGCCTTTAGGTCTTGTGGAGAGAGCACTTAAACTTTAGACCTCTAAGTTGATTGAGCAATCGTATTTCAATATCATCGGTTAGGAACTAGTTGCCTCATACTGGATATGATTAAACCTCCAACAGTCCTATACTAGGACAAAACAGCTGTCAAATGCTTCATGTTTTTGAATGGCTATCTAAATAAGGTCAGTCTGTGATGTTAGTATGACATAACAGATCTACGTAAATATCTACATACCTCTGTAGATAGTCTAAAAGTAAAAGTGTAGTAGCTCTACTCACAAAAGAAGTAATTGATTTATCAGGTGTGTACAATGATTGTGTATTAATATTATATACAATATTCTTGGATATATAGGGTGACAAATAATAACATACTAAAAACATCAATACCTGAAAACAAGAAAAACGAAGGGGTTTCTATTTGATGGTGTACGGTGGCGCAACTTCGTGGATTGGTTGAAGTTAGACATTAACAACGTTGGATGCCGGCTCAGTGGTCTAGTGGTTAAGTGCTCGCGCGCAAAGCCAGTAGGTCCTGGGTTTGAGCCCCGCGTGGTGCGGGATCGTGGATGCGCACTGCTGAGGAGTCCCATACCAGGACGAAACGGTCGTCCAGTGCTTCCAGGTTCTTAATGGTGGTCTAGCTTCAACTGACTCATGATTTCAACCTGTGAAGTTTCTATTCGAGTTAAAAGCAAATAATGCAACATCATATGGAGTGATCTATTGCGAAGAATGTGAAATTGTAAGAACTGAATTATAGTATAGTGAATACTAGAAGAACCTGTTGTTTGTAAGGTGTCGTTTTCCGATGATCTTGTATGCCGGTGTTCTCATTGAAGGAGAAGATGTACAGTTATTTTGAACAATTAAAAAACAAACAGACATTACCGATATAAAGCGTGATATAGGTGTGCATTTACCCAAATTGCCATACCTAATTAACATAACGAGATGGATTGCAAAGAAATTAGAATAATACAATAGTATTGATAATAAGAAAGATTAAACATTGGGAATATGCTTTGTAAAGATTAAATGGAAGGGAAGATAAAGAGTGAATATTTCTGCTTCATTGTGACTTAAAGTCTCTGACTACTGATTGCGGTTATCACACGGACTCCAATCAGATAATCTGCGACTACAAACATGTTTTAGACCAGCAGTTAATGACTTCATGAACTGATGTCATGTTTTTATTTGGATGGCGTTCACTTTCTTCCAACATATTTCTACATTTACAACTATTGTTTGTCGATGTTGGACATACATAGTGCATATTCAACCCATCTCAGTCAATGTAGATTTATTGCCTGATCAATTGATTTTCTATCTTCATCTGGTACTCTGCATCTAAACCTCAACATTGATCACTCGATGGTTCAAGCATACACGAGCAGTGCTTAGAAAGCATATGTGATCAAATACTACTAACCTACGAATATTCTCCATTTTTAAAGGCCATATTTCAGTGCACTTTGCTGTTGTACATATGTTTGTTGGTAGAGATTAGAACTCACAACTCGTTGACTCGAAGTTGAATTTCTAAACCTCGAAGCAACCGCTCCATAGTCAATTAGTGCTATCACTAGCCCTCACCTTACATAAACAATGTAGCTAAAAGCTGAGTATACAAATCTTTATATTTTGGCAAATGACTTACTGTGGTATTAAAATCATGAGTATAGAAGATTTGTTACTTATAAAAAGAATAGATATGAACAACCCTTAAGTAATTTTAGCCAATCATATAAGGGAACTATTGTTCCATGTGCTTCTTCAAAGTATTTTATCATTGATTTTTCTGTTATCTCCCCCACTTACCCATCAGCTGATCAAACTAGACCTCCAACAACAACAACAACAACAACCTTATATGAATGCAGTAAATCAACAAAATCGATTTCCCAACAACATGTCATTTCCACCAGGTCTTAACAACAATAATCAGTCGACATTACCTCGTCCTAATACAATGCTCCCACCTCATTCATCTTCTTGGTCAGATGTACGTTTTTCCGAACCATCAAGTTCAAATATTCCTGCTGGTATGTCCTTAAGTGTATAGTGTTTTTGTTTCGTCTGCTATTAAAAAAGATACACTACATCCGTTTTTAAACTGCGTTTATTACATCTTCAGTAGTGTTAACTAACTAAATGACTAACCTGTTTTGCCCTCCCTTTCTCATACAATATATTTTCCATAATTATATCGGTTTAATTATTGACTGAGGTTACCTTCCACAATATGTTGTATAAAAACAAACAAGTAAACCAATATATATGAATGTTCTATACCGCACAGTGTCGATACCTTTTTGTTAAACTCTTATAAATTGTCTTGTATGAAGTTTATAAACAAAGCGATCTTGAATGTTGTTGGAGGTACGAAAGTATTTTTCATTTACCGGTTGCTCACACCATGAAAGAACACTTGAGGGATCTGGAAATAAAACTAGATTAGAAAGGAGATGGTTTTGACGACTTGAAAGCGCGACTGTAGCGCCCAAGGAATAACTGTTTGAGATTGATCACACGCACACACCCTTTTTGTGAGCATTTGTCAATGTGTTACCTTCATACTTTTCTGACTTTAGCTTTGGGACTTGAAATCTTCGGTGCAAAGTAGTGAGTTACTTTAAAGGCCGATCTTTTTTAGTCCCTTACTTTCGTTGTACAAAAGCAGCATCGCCGTAAATGCTAGTTGTCTGAGGGGAACACCTTATCAGCATCACGCCACTGTATATTCAGCAGTGAAATTAAACCCCTGGATGATGAGTTTATTGCTTTAAAGCCTATCTCTCCTAAACTATTATACTTGGTATGATCGACCTCAAGGAACGGATGCTTCTGCTAACATGTCTGGATTAGGTCATCGTTCTACGCACTCGTATTATGTACATGATCTCTGTATGATAAGTACACTAGATGAGCTACTGCTAGCTTCAAGAAAAAAGTTTTAAAATTCATGAACTAATGAGAATTGTTTATGGAGATAATATACATTGAAATTAATCAACTCTTTGGATCAAGTGTATTGTACAGTTAGGACTGTAAAGACAACAAGGATAACCCTAGATCGGAAGGAACACTAACTGTCCTTGTTATAGAACAAAATCGAACGTCTACACCACCTATTGTACTTTCCGACCGCTGATCGACTATCTAGTGGATTGTTAATGAACTGGATGATATAAAGACGATAAAACCAGAAATGATAACGACCCTAACTTTTGTGAAATTCCAAAGATATGTTCAACAAAAGACATTTAGATGGGACAATTGTATTGCAATAAATGGGAAATATTTTGTAAGGGAGGCTCTTTACTCGAACACTACCAGTCGAGTGAGAGCTTATTGCGAACTGTCATCTGGTTTTGCAACCTCAAGTGGTATCCATCAAGGCTATCCACTTTCTCCATTTTTGTTTAACTTCATCATAGACTTATTGATGGAAATAACCTTCTGGTCGATTGAATTCTCTGGTATTGATCTCTACCAGGAGGTCCACTTATCGACTTAGAATGCCCAGATGACATAGTCCTGTTTGGTGAAGACGCTGATAAAATGCAGAGTCTTTTGGTAGCACTAAGCAACAATGCCAGAATGTTTGGGATGCGTTTCTTCCCCTCTAAATGCAAGTTGTTGCTTCAGGACTGGACCGCGTCAACACCTGAACTAAGGATAGGGAGATCACCGGGTAAGTGATAGTGAGGTTAGACGCAGGGTATTAGAGGATGATGGTAAATCAGTTGATGAGGTTGTGAATCTTCATCGATTGAGATGGTTGGACTACGTGTTACGTATACCTGAACACCGATTACCACGACATACGATGCTGACTAGTGTAGGGGATGGTTAGAAGAAAGTTAGGGGCGGCCAAACCAAAACGTGGCATCAATGCTTGAAGTCCCTAACTTCTAGCCTGAGTCGTGTTGGTAGATGCAGACTACTTGGTTGGAATCCGTGTGACTATCGTAACCAATGGTTGGAGACTCTTGGTGACATGGCTCAGAATCGATCACAGTGGCGTCGGTGTATACACTCCCTGTCTTCCCTTAAACTAAGAGACTAAAATCACTTCATTCTTTCTGTCTACGAACTAATTCTTTCTTCCTATACTATATCCTTATTGCAACCTTTGACCTAACCACTCCTATGAATCCGGTGTTCATCTTGCTGTGCTAATGAGGTATGGCAACCTGGACCGATGCACATATGTGCCTGGTCCTACGTTGTAGCTGACTGACTGACTGATCAGTAATTATGATAAATGAAATTTTCATTGTTTTGATTCAATCACTTCATTGTATAAACAATTTGATTTGATGTTTATTCATTTTTATTTAACAAAAAAAGGTCATTTTGTTCAATCCAATCAAATTCCTCATATTCCATCCAATTCAAATAATAATAATAATAATACGTCTTCATTGAATTCTTATGAAATGCAATTAACTCAAAAAACATTTATATCTCCTCGTCCACCTGGTCCATTGTTCACATGTCAACAATCTGGACTACGTCAACAAATACAACAACGTTTACCATTACCACCACCACACCACAACAACAACAACGACATCCTCATCATCAAGTACAATTGGAATCGTCTGGATTTCGTCCAATGGGGTCTGGATTACCATTGAATAATTGTAGAATACCAATGAATAATGATGGTATTCTCGGTAGTGCTAATCCTTCTACTGGTGTCATCAGTGGTGGTGGTGGTGGTGGTGGTGTTATGCATATGCAATGGTCTAATAACAACAATAATCAAACAACTATGCCACCGATATCTTGTAATCCTAATGCTTTTATGCTTAATTCAGGACAAATGAAAACATTTAATCGACCAATGTTTCCACCTCGTGTTGTCGGCGGTGCTATTGTCGGTCCTCCCGCCCCACCACCTCTTGGCGGCGGCGGTGGTGGTGGTGGTGGTGTTATTGGCTTACCCTTTCGATATCGAAATTTTTCTAGAGGTGGTTTTCCTGGACGATAATGATAATTTCATGGCTCGCTTGGTTGTAAATGTGTATATTTATGTTGAAATACTTGATTTGCAAAGAAAGAAAAATACTACAATATGTGTACATATCCTTTAAATGGAGATTAAATAGCGGTAATAAACCCTGATAAATTACAGATGCAAATATGGGATTATACAAAGATTTGTAATAGTAAATAAGAGTAGTAGTATTAGTACTTACTTTATTGTGACACTATTTGTTAATCGATTATAATAATTAGTGTTTTTATCTACGCTTTCTTCTTGACAGATGAGTGTACATATCTATCTATTTGTAATGTAGAGAGAAATAAATGAGCACCATTGTTTATATATGTCCGTAAACTGTTTTTCTTTTTGGAAGGGGGGGAGAGGAGGGAGCACTCATAAAATAAATATGTATTCTGTGTAGTAGTAGTAGTTGTTCACTTTTTGGGACTGTGTAACCCACAACAACAACAAAAACACGACGGGATGTTTACTCGGTACGTAACGTTTATTTATCTGTTTTGTTTGATATGTGATCAAGTTGTGTATGTAAGTTTGTGTTGAAATGTGTTTAACGCGTCTTTCCATGATGTCTGAAGCCTTTAGGGTTCGATCACTAACAGGCTTGTAGTTTCGCACTGTTGAGTCATCATACAGACTAGGATGAAATAGCTTGTATTTCAGTCCGAACAGCTAATTAGTATTATAAGTCTTTAACACAGTGTCATTCAAAGCTGGATGCATAAACCATAAATGTGGGAATGACAGTTGAATACAACGATAATTCAAATATTGGAATATGATCATAGGTCAAGAGTATTAGATAAAATAACAATTTGATTCATAAGGTTATGATAGTTCAACGACATTAATGGTTAAGCATGCGTAATACATATCCTGAGGTTCGACTAACTCAACGTACAATGCTAGATGACATAAGAGTATGTTATGTTAACGGTGTTCAAGTAGAGAATTGGCATCGATTTATTTATTCTGAATGTTAGTCTGAAGCATATGAGTAGTAAGTGGATTAGTTAGTTGGATCCATTAGGATATTCATTGTCTATGATTGAAGACACTGAGTGTTTGTATCATTTATGACTTGAAATAAGTCTGAGTGATACAAAGTCGCATTCATTATCTACCTTCTTCTAAATTTCGAGTTGATTGTCATTCTTCAGTCTTATTAATTCTCTTTTGTACTGTTTAATTTATTAATCCAATTGAAATGAACTCTATGTCTTTGCTTTTCATCTTGTTCATTGACTTTCTTACTTTGCTTTGATATAAGACATTCGATGGATAGACAACATTCCATCTTAGATCACTCGAGAACTCAAGAATAATATCGTTCAGGAAAAAAAATAATTCAATCAAATTGATTTCCAAAAAACTTATCAGTTCTTAATGTATGGAAGATGTTGTCTAATGTAGAGAAGTAGACTAACTGGAAGAAAGTTAAGAGTGATCAAATCAAGATGTGACACCGGTCTTTGAAGTTATTGACAATTGAACTTAGCCATTTGAATAGATGGAGACTACGTGGTTGGGGTTCTCGTGATTATCATAATCAATGATCAGAGACTGGATGATATAGCTCAGAGTCGTTTGCAATAGCGCATGTATATTCTGTCTTTATCTTCCCTGAGAATATGAGTCTTTATATTCCTTCATACCTTTTATCTTTATACCTAACTATTTTTCGCTGTGCTAATACAGAATGGCAATTTGAACCGATACACATATACTTCACATTCTATGTTGCACAAAACGTGGCATCAGTGCTTGAAGTCACTAACTTCTAGTCTGAACCATGTTGGTAGATGCGGACTACTTCCTTGGGGTCCGCATGACTATCGTAAACAATGGTTGGAGACTCTTGGTGACATGGCACAGAATCGATCACAATAGCATCGGTGTATACACTCTCTGTCTTCCCTTAAACTGTGAGATTAAAATCACTTCATATCTTTCTTTGTACTAACTAATTCTTCCTTCCTATACTATATCCTTATATGCAATCATTCTTTTATATATTACCACCTCTGAATGAACTTCTTTTATGAATTCGGTGTTCATCTTGTTGTGTTAATGAGGTATGGCAACTTGGACCGATGCATATATGTGCCTGGTCCTACGTTGTAACTGACTGACTGATGTTACACATAACTAACTGATGTAAAAAGAAAATGTAAAATTACGGACGAATGTATTGCTTAATTTAAGCAAGTTATCTGTATTTGTTGAATTCAGTATAGTAGTGTATAGCTAACTTCTCCCAAATTCTAATCTTCTGAATTCTTCATATCCGTTATTTTCTTTCCAAATTTATTTCACTGTATTATACTCCGTGAATAACATCTTCAAGCCTTAATCTTTCTGAATACTGCTTATACTCTTACTACTTCTTTTTATGGTCTTGGGTGCTGTTAGAGGTACGAGGGCGGTTATCACTTCCCGGTTGCCCACACCGTGGAAGGGTTCTTCTGGAGGTACCTGAAAAGGAAATTGGATTAAAGGTGGTCTTAGTGACCTGAGAGCGTGACCGCAGTGCCCAAGGGACAACTGCTTGAGGCCGGTCGCGCACGGCCTTTTTGTGGAAGGTTTTTGACGTGTTAGCTCCGTTCTTCAAGGGGCCTTACCGCCGGAGACGGAAATCCGTGAGGTAAGGTGAGGTGTGCATTTTTAGGGTCGACCTTTTCTAACCCCACCCCTCCTTGTGGGAAGGCAGCATCGCTGTCAGGCTGGTTGTCTGAAGGAAACACCTTACTGCTGTCACACCTCTGTACAGTCAGCAGTACGACTTCGCCTTCGGACCTTGGGTTTGTTGCTTTTAGTCTTACCGCTCTTCAACCGACCTGTCTGACATGGTAGGACCTTGAGGAACGGTTGTTCCAGCCAGTATAGCTCGGTTGCTTCATCACGATAGGCAAGCCCGACCACCACGTCAAGGTAGCAACAACGGTCGGGTCTTACTACTTCTACCACTACGTAATTTGAGTCGACCACTGCATCTCTATGCTAATGTGGTATGGCAACTCGAACTGATTTACGTACGTACGTACGAAGTTCTACATTGTTACTGACTGATACAAAAGGGCACCAAAATGTATATTCACCACACAATAAAAATGAGATTGTAAAGAGATAAAGAAAGGAAGGTGAATAAGACAAAATGAATAGAAACTAATGTCTGAGTAGAAAAAGTAATAACGGGAGAAATAGTTCATTCAACAAAAAAATACGATCAGAAATGATTCTTTCTGTTAAAGAAGTTCCTCTGACTTACAACATAAGAAAATTGCCACCATTGGCCTTTACTCTGAATCATCCTCTGATAATGTCTCAAGACCACTGTTCTGGATTATCTTTTGAGATGAACCTCGTCATCGAGTAGTCTAATTAAAATACAGGTATTATAGATTATATTAAGGCTTCACATGGTTCATATATATATATATATATACATATATATTCTTGTAGTTCAAGATCAAGATAGATCTCATGCAAATACTGATGCATGTGATCAATCGTTTGGAGCCTTTAGTTAGATGCTTAAAAAAAAAATCAATTTTAATCTGTTTCATAATCTCTATGTTATAATTAACTGATAAAGATTGTTGTATTTGTTACTATTCTGTTTAGAAGAATTAATTTCTATCTTAATATAAGATTCTATTTCTAACAGCTTTTCTATTCATAATTGGTGTACAATTAAATTACAATCTAGCCCCCAAATGCCCTAGTATGGCCGAGAGTAGGGAGAGTCTCCTCTCCCTCTCAAAATGCTCTCACATTGCCACGCATATATAGCCTCTGACAGGGAAGTCCTACTCACTAACTTCTCGTGACGGGGGTGTTGTTTACGAAAATGAGAGGACGAAAAGTGACTGTCTGGCGCTTTAACTGGATTCCAAATCAATGATGCGCATGGGCTCCAGTATCCTGAGGGAACAAATGACGTATGAACCAATCGTTGGTTACCGGCTACCATGGAACTGCATCTCCTTACGATGCTCCATTGCCTTGTGGATCAGACTTTCAGCTCGAAAGCTCGGAGAGTGGCCCTTTAAGAAAACCACTTGCTTCGGTTTGGGCAACCAGACAGTATCCTAGCCCTCACACAAATCTCATTTGATTTATGTGGCGCATATGTATTTGGTGCCTCCTTGTACCAATATCTTTGTGTTAAACTAATAAAATAAATTACAATCTATCTTGTTATCACAATCACATTGTGAATGAAATAAAGCAAAAGATTTTTTTTCTCTTATAATCCTTAACTTCTTAGATAATCCACAATGTATGTTTCATCAGAATAGCTCATCATTTTATCAAGTCATTAAAATCATGTTTAAGCAAATTGTACAACCAATTGAATATCTCTAATCTCGTCTAGGAATTGAGATAAGCTACTTTCTAGTGATTGTTAAATTAATCCTGGTTCTGTAGAAAGTCTGTATTAGCATGCCTAGTTAAGTGGTATATATTTGAATCACGAAAGCAGAATTTGGTTATGTGTTAAAAAAAAACAATGAACTATGGCTTTGGTGAAGTTTTGTTCTCTGAGTTGGATAGTTTGATCGTGGATCTTTCATTGTTCTTTTGAACGACATCATCATCATCAGCAACACAAACTTCAGATAGAAGTTTGTGATGAAAGCTCCACGACCAAACCTCATCCAGCTCAGAGAAAAAAAAACTCCACAAAAATCATCCATCTGTAATCACAATTGATTGATCACTGGGTGGTGATCAATCTCATGCTTGTCTAGTCCTTATTAGTGCAGATCGAATGCTATCGATCATGTTGCAATGTGGCCACCAGTCTAGGTGACTCGACACTGTGGGCACTATGTATTGAGATTAGATGGTGGTTGGAGGTAGTCAACAGGAAACCCTGGACCCGATCGATCTGCACTAATAAGGACTAGACAAGCATGAGATTGATCACCACCCAGTGATCAATCAATTGTGATTACATCTCAGTCCTACAGGAGGTTAGTCACGGGTCGGATAGCTCAGTGGTAACGTCTCTGACTGTGAAGCTGGGTGACACGAGATCGAATCCGCCAGGGAGCACCAGTTCCCTCAAGATTACAGGTACACCTTGCTGACGAGTGCCAAGTAGCACGAAACCCGGGTCCAGGGTTTCCTGTTGACTACCTCCAACCACCATCTAATCATCCATCTGTGCTACACATCTTCTCCATCATCTCAAAATGAACTATGGCTTATCGATTTCGAGTTTATAATTCAATTTAGCTTAGAGCAACACTGTTAAAAGTGTATAGGCCAGCTGATACTTCTTGACTACTTGGATCGTGAATATTTTTCAGGGAGAACTCATCAATAGTAAGGGAAGGTTTTTCTCTATTTTTCCTTGGTCTATTGTATAACCTAAAACTTTATATTTGTATTGTTATGCTATTCAACAATATACAGCTACTCGATGATCTTGCAATCTCTTGGGAACATAAACATGTGAATAGTCATTTTACTAATTGAGTTCTGTGTAAGAAAATTGATATTTGATAGGATAAGTACTTCGAGGTTTTTTTTTGGGGGGGGGGGTTCCATTCCTGACAAAGTATGAATGTACACTGCTGAGAAGTTACAATTGTCCAGCGCTATCTATCCTTTAATAGTTATCCAGATGAATTCAGTTTCTGATCTGAGTGTTATGTTATTGTTAATAAGATTTTCAGAACAAATCACCCTTATAACGGTTTGTAATCACAAACATCTTAGTGACTCAAGAGTTATGAATTGTTCATTTAAAAAGTATAATCCAATACAAAACTAATCCTAGTATTGTGTAATTTTGGGATCAGTTATCACAATTGATTGATCACTGGGTGGTGATCAATGCCATGCTTGTCTAGTCCTTATTATTAGTGCAGATCGAATGCTATCGATCATGTTGCAATGTGGCCACAAGCCTAGGTGACTCGACACTGTGGGCACTATGTATTGAGATTTAGATGGTGGTTGGAGGTAGTCAACAGGAAACCCTGACGACCCGGGTTTCGTGCTACTTGGCACTCGTCAGCAAGGTGTACCTGTAATCTTGAGGGAACTGGTGCTCCCTGGCGGATTCGATCTCGTGTCACCCAGCTTCACAGTGGTAACGTTCCCTCAAGATTACAGGTACACCATGCTGACGAGTGCCAAGTAGCACGAAACCCGGGTCCAGGGTTTCCTGTTGACTACCTCCAACCACCATCTAGGATCAGTTATAGTTACATACTCATAGTCTATTATTTATTGGGTAAAGTTAATCAACAACATACTATGTGTGTAAAGGTCAGATTTAGTTGATGCAATTACAGATGATCTGAGATAGATTACAAAGCCGTATAGTTTACATGACTATCAACCATCAGCAATTAGACTAGTGATTGGTGAGCCTATAATTTATGGACGAATCAATCAGATTCAAGATAACAAGTCTTAGATTTTGGCACGAAATTCACTCATCCATTTGACTAAATAGTTCTGGCATTATAACTGACAACAGTTCGTAATGAAAATTTCTAAATCTACTTCCTAACGATCCAACTGTAAATCATAATTCTAATTCCTCACGCTAGTTTATAAGCCTCATTTAGTCTTAGTAATTAAGATGGATATCCTGAAGGTCACTTTAACGTGTCTCAAAGGCCATTCGTAAATTATAGTTTCACCGTTATTGTCGTCAATACCATGTCTTCCCCAACTTGATTCCTCATCTTCATAATTGTTAAAAAAATTTCCTAAGTGGTTGGTAAATTTGACTGCTAATTATTTGACTATATTGGAGGTACTATTTTTTTTAATTATGAAGAATCCACCTTCCATATATGCAATACACTTTTCTTTTCATGCTCTTTGATAAGATTGAAGCTTTCATTCTCTGCATTAACGCTTCTATAATAAATCCAAATATTGGTAATTCCATTAATATCAGAAAGGAATTTTATGGATATTATAGTTATTTAATAATTGAATTCATCAGTCGATTGAATCTAGACCACTATGGGAAAGCCTTGAACGGTTGTTTCGTCCTAGTACAGGACCCCTCGACAGTACGCATTCACGATCCTGTTCACCGGGTTCGAACCCAGGGTCTATCAGTCTTGCGCGCGAACGCTATTTACATATATATTATTAGGTATTAATACTTACAAATTGTTAGTCATTTGTAGAGAAAAACTCTAACAGTTCTAAAACTTTTTGTTGATGATAACTATTATCAGAAGGGGGTTTGTGGAGATTTTAGAAATTTCACTGAATGAAATCATGGGTCAATTGAAGCTAGACCACCATGGAAAACCTGGAAGCACTGGACGGCCATTTTGTCCTATTGTGGGACTCCTCAGCAGTGCGTATCCACGATACCGCACCTCGAGAGATTCGAACCCAGGACCTATCAGTCTCGTGCCAGGCGCTTACCCAACTAGATCACTGGTGACAACTATTGTCTAGAAAGACAATAAGAGTTTCATGATTGAATTACTGGGCTTAAAGTATCTAATTGGTATCAAAATAACCTTTCTCAGGTAACAGGAAACTTCATCATATATCTAATCAATGAAAACTGACTTGTGCGATCCAGTCAGTCAGCTACAACGTAGGACAAGGCATATATATGCAGCGGCCCAAGTTGCCATACCTCATTAACACAACACGATGAACACCGGATTCATAAAAGTAGCTAATTCAGAGGTGGTAGTATATAAAAGAAAGATTGCAATAAGGATATAATACAGGAAGAAAGAATCAGTTCGTAGAAAGAAAGATATGAAGCGATTTTAATCTCACAGTTTAAGGGAAGACAGAGAGTGTATACACCGACGCCATTGTGATCGATCGATTCTGAGCCATGTCACCAAGAGTCTCCAATCATTGGTTACGATAGTCACGCGGACCCCAACCAAGTAGTCTGCATTTACCAACATGGCTCAGGCTAGAAGTTAGTGATTTCAAGCACTGATGCCACGTTTTGGTTTGGCCACCCCTAACTTTCTTACAACCATCCCGAACACCGGTTAGAATTGCACATCGTGGTAATCAGTGTTCAGGCATACGTAACACGTGTCCCAACCATCTCATTCGATGGAGATTCACAACCTCATCAACTGACTTACCATCATCCTCTAATACCCTGCGTGTAGCCTCACTATCACTTACCAGATGATCCCAGAAGACGCCAGCAATAATTCTGAGGCATCTGTGGTCAAATACTAGCAGCTTACGAGTGTTTACTACTCTTAATGGCCACGTTTCACAGCCGTAAAGTAGAACAGAACGAACTGCCGCGCAGTATACTCGCCTTCACCATGGGTGACGTAAGTTGGCAAAAGCCAAGTGAGCTTTTCGAATCCGTGCTGATATTTCGTCAGACACCAACTCATTAGGGCTGATCAGACATCGAAGATAAGTGAAGTTGTCAACGCGTTACACGATTACGTAATAGATTTGATCAAGTCAATAAAAACAAAAGTTATATCATAATATTACTTTCTTTTTTGTTTAAATACATACATTATAAGTAAGTGTAAAATCATTTGTACATTTAATGGGTAAGTGAAATGATGGATTCATTCATTCTATAAGGAATTGCACAGATACACATCCACATAGACAGACAGAGAGAAAGAGAGGAAATCTTGTTTACATTAAAATGAAGTAGCTAAACTAGTCATATTTTGCCAAAATGTTTGATCTAAATTATCTAAAAATGAATTAATACGTTGTTGATATGCTTCATTTTCATTTGAATGTATCCTATTCAATATGAAATTATTATTCATCGAATCATCATTATGAATATTATTCAATTTGTTATTCATCATTCGTTTAGAATTAATTAATGGCTAAAAAGAAGAAGAAAAAAAAAACGGATTCGATAAGTTACTTAATCAAGTAATTCATGAACATAATAGTGTACGAGTGCCACCAAATGCCCTGGTATGGCCGAGAGTGGGGTGGGCCCACCCTCCCTCTCGAAATGTTCTCACACGGACACGCGTATATAGCCTCTGACAGGGAAGTCCTACTCACTACCTTCTCGTGGCATCACTGTTGTTACAAAGTTGAGAGGACGAAAAGCGAATATCCGGCGCTTTAACCGGATCCCAAACCAATGGTGCATATGGGATCCAGTATCCTGAGGGAACAAATGGCGTATGAACCAATCGTTGTTCACCGGCTTCCATGGGACTGCATCTCCTCACGATGTTCCACTGCCTTGTGGGTTAGACGTTTAGGTCAAATGCTCGGGGTGTGGCCCCCTAAGCAAACCACCTGCTTCGGTTTGGGCACCCGGGCAGTATCCCAGCCCCCACACAAATCAAATGATTTATGTGGCGCAAATGTACTTGATGCCTCTTTGTACCAATGTTTATGTGTTCAAATAAATAAATAAATAATAGTGTACGATTTATAAGAAAAAAATGATTTCCTTTATCATCTGCTACAAGTTAGATTGACTGAGTGGTCCAAGGTGCTGTTGCTTTTAGACAATAGTCTGAAAAGGCGTAAGTTTGAATCTCACCTCCACCATACGTTTAGTTCTCTGATTAAATGCCCTGATACAGCAGAGGATGGAGAAAGTCAGCTCTCCCTTTCAAAATGCTCTCACATAGCCACACGTTTACAGTCACTGTCAGGGAAGTTCTACTCATTGTCTTCTCGTGACATAACTGTTTTTTACGGAATTGAGAAGACGAAAAGCGAATGTCTGGTACTTTAACCGGGTTGGTGGATATGGAGGATCCATATAGGGGTGTTGGAAAACCCTGGTTTCAAACCAACAGTGCATATGGGCTCCAGTATCCTGAAAGAACAAATGGCGTATGAATCAATTATTGGTCACTCACGTACCATGAGACTGTATCTCTTGACGTTGCTCCACTGCCTTATGGATCAGACCTTTATGTCGAAGGCTCCGGGCAGTAACACAGTGAATTGTGACTTATGTGGCACTAATGTATTCGGTGCCCCTTTTTACTAATATTTATATGTTCAAATAAATAATTAATTCAGATTTCAAGTTGTTAATGATTAACATAAACTTAGTTCTGTGAATTAAAAGTCAAATAATACTTTATCACTCAGCATTAGATAGGAAGAAGAATGAAATTGCTAGAGTTGAAGCTATCACGAGTTCACTTGATCTGTGTACGAGAAAACAAGACTCAGTGACCAAAGACCAGTAAGCTAGCTATTGATGCGTCCCAGCCCTGCTAACTAGAGGGAGAATTCCAACCTTGGAATGGGGAAGTATATTCTGCAAACAGCCATAAAACGAGCGATAACAAGAAAAACAATTCAAAACGTATATATATACAGTACAAAACCGTCCTTGGGGAGAGTTACCAAATAGTATACTAAAAGACTCAACAAACTAATAGCATTGAAAACATTTCCCAGTGGAAAACACGACATGAATGAAGGTGACAAGAGCGCCTTTGGCACGAAAATAAAGCAATTCAAATTTTCTAATTAAAATTACAAAATTAGATCCTTTCTCAATTGAGGTTCTGAGGATCTAACCTCTCCAACAGAAATACACTTTAGAAATATACAAAAAAAAACAAATTTCTGTTTTGATTGAGATCATGAACCGATTGATGTTAGACCACCACCTTTGGAAACCTGGAAGTACTTGATGGCTGTTTCGTCCTTTTGTGGGACTCCTCAGCAGTGCACATCTACGATCCCGCTCGCGGGATTCGAACCCAGGGCCTTCGGTCTCGCGCGCGAACGCTTAACCAACTACACCACCGAGCCAACATCCAATGGTGATAGTGTCTAATATCAAACAATCCACGAAATTGCGCGACCAACTTCCAGTTTTCGAAAGGTGATGGTCTAACATCAATCATTTCATGATCTCAATCAAAAATTTAATAATCTCCACAACCCCTATACCAGATTTCAAGTTGTTAATGATTAACATAAAAAATTAGTTCTGTGAATTAAAAGTCAAATAATACTTTATCACTTAACGTTCGATAGGAAGTAGAATGAAATACACTTTAGAAATATACCAAAAAAAACAAATTTCTGTTTTGATTGAGATCATGAACTGATTGATGTTAGACCACCACCTTTGGAAACCTGGAAGCACTGGACGGCTGTTTCGTCCTATTGTAGGACTTCTCAGCAGTGCACATCTACGATCCCGCTCGCGGGATTCGAACCCAGGGCCTTCGGTTTCGCGCGCGAACGCTTAACCTACTGAATCACCAAGCCAACCAACATCCAATAGTGTACATGTTTAACCTCAATCAATCCATGATATAATCATTATCATACATACAATTTATACTTACTGATAATTGTAGATATGATATTTGATAATGTAAAATGCATGAAAGAAAATTCCACCATGAAAATTCTGGCCAATAATTATTAATAAATTTATAAATTGTATCATTTTCTAATACTTGCCAAGTTAAAAAATCACTTAAACGTAATTCACCAGAAGTACGAATTAATAAATCTAATGGTTTTGATAAACGTGTATATAAACATTTTGATAATAATTCTTGAGTGATATCACTAAAAAAAAATTTAGTTAGAAAATACAATTTCAATGAAGTTTAAAGGAATTTAATTGATACAAAAATAAACTATGTATAAGATATGTAAACAAATGAACTAAACTGAGTATTGTGGTGGTTCCCAAATCCCCTGGTATTGCCGAGAGTGGGGGGAAGTCCGCTCACCCTCTTGAAATGCTCTCATATGGCCACGCGTATACAGCCTCTGACAGGGAAGTCCTACTCACTGACTTCTTCTGACATCACTGTTGTTTACGAAAATGAGAGGACAAAAAGCGAATATCTGGCGCTTTAATCTGATCACAAAGCAAATCAATGGTGCACATGGGCTCCAGTATTCTGTAGGAATAAATGGCGTATGAACAAGTTGTTGGTCACCGGCTTCCATGGGACTACATCTCCTCACGATGCTCCACTGCCATGTGGATCAGACCTTCAGGTTGAAGGATCGGAGAGTGGCCCCCTAAGAAAACCACCTGCTTCGGTTCAGGCACCCGGGCAGTATTACAGCCGACACACAAATATAATGAAAATGATGGTATTTACTGAAAACTCTATTCTCGATTCGGTTTACAGCCAAATGATCCTCATTATTATTATTATTATTATTATTGTTATTATTTACTACGTCATTTATCCACTCTCTTTTATTCCCACTTTATGTATCCTTATTTTTCGACCTATACAGCAGCTCGTCTATAGTGGAAATTCGACTCTATCTAAACATTCTCGAGTCACTACCTGATTGAAAATTGTATGCTACCACCAAATACGAATACTGAAGCAGTTTTTTTTCTGAAACCACGTGCACTATTCAAATTGGCTGCCTTCAACGTTCGCACATTTATGCAGGTCGGACAACAGATAGGGCTGGTTATGTCTTTGGAAAGTTTTAATATCGACGTTTGTTGTCTATCCGAGATCCGTATTCAAGACTCTGTTTTTTTGTGTGGCACATATATATTTGTTGCCCTCTTGTACCAATATTTCTGTGTTCAAATAAATAAATAAATTGCAAATTAGGTAGTAGTAGTAGTGTGGTGCATGCTACTTATATTGATATAAGTAGTATAAACGTGAGTCAGGAATGTAATGTCTGGCAGCAGAAGATTGAGAAGATCAAGAAAGGAAGAACGGGAATAGCAGGCAATTAGTATAGAAATGCAAGAACAATAAATTCCGAGACAATTAATGAACATTTTGAAAATTAGATATTATAGTATGTTTTTTTCTATTTCACCAAGTAACTCTATAATATTGTGCTATTTATTTATTTATTTCAACACATAAATATTGGTACAAGGGGGCACCAAATATATATGCGCCACACCATATTTGTGTGTGTGCGGGCTGTGATACTGCCCGGGTGCCCAAACCGAAGCAGGTGGTTTTCTTAGGGGGCCATTGGAAGTCTCATCAGCCCTTGTGGCTTGGTGTGTGACGAAATCTCAGCACGGATACAGAAGGCTCGACTAGCTTTTGTCAACTTGCGTCATTTATGGCGTAGGCGAGATATCCGTCTATCAACCAAAGGACGTGTTTACTGCGCAGCAGTTCGTTCCGTCCTACTTTATGGCAGTGAAACATGGTCGGTAAGAGTAGAGGATATTCATAGGTTACTAGTATTTGATCATAGGTGTCTTCTAAACATTGCTCGTATATCATGGGACCATCGAGTAAGTAACACAGTTGTTAGGAAACGGGTACTAGGTAAGGATGGCAAATCAATTGATGAAGTAGTGAAACTTCATCAGTTGAGATGGCTGGGACACGTGTTACGTATTCCCAACCACCGATTGCCTCGACATGCGATGTTCAGTGGTATAGGAGTAGATTGGAAGAAAGCTAGGGGTGGCCAGACCAAAACATGGCAAAAATCCATGAAGTCACTGACAAGTGGACTGAGTCATGTTGGTAGGTGTGGACTACCTGGTTGGAGACCGCGAGATGATAGCAACCAATGGTTAGAGACCCTGAATCACATGGCTCAAAATCGCTTGCAATGGCGCAGGTGCATCCACTTTTTGTGTTCTCCCAAATTCTAATCTTCTGAATTCTTCATGTCCCTTTTTCCCTCTTTCCAAATTTCTTTCACTGGATTATACTCTTTAAATAACATCTCCAAACCCTAATCTTCCCGATTACTGCTTATACTCTTATTACCTCTACCACTACGGGATTTGAATCGACAACTGCATCTCTGTGCTAATGTGGTGTGGCAACTCGAACTGATGTACGTACGTACGAAGTTCTACGTTGTTACTGACTGACTTAGGGGGCCACACCCCGAGCCTTCGACATGAAGGTCTGATCCACAAGACAGTGGAGCATCGTAAGGAGATGCAGTCTCATGGAAGCCGGTGACCAACGATTGGTTCATACGCCATTTGTTCCCGCAGGAGCCCATGTGCACCATTGGTTTTGGATCCGGTTAAAGCGCCGGACATTCACTTTTTGTCCTCTCAATTTCGTAAACCACAGAAATGCCGCGAGAAGTCAGTGAGTAGGACTTCCCTGTCAGAGGCTGTATACGCGTGGCCATGTGAGAGTATTTCGAGAGGGGGGCGGGCCCACCCCACTCTCGGCTATACCAGGGCATTTGGGGAATTGTGCTAAATATAATTCGATTCTCCTCACCTATGTTCTCCTTCACTACAGTACTATTCCTATGAATTGCTTTTCAAAGAACAAACAGTAAATGATAATTTTCTATGCGGAAGTTCTCAAGCGTTTAATGGATTGTATAAAAGTTAATTTGTGTGATAACAATGGATGGGTGGATGTATCACATTTCTGAATCCGAGTTCTGAGACGACAGTTTTGTTGATAAAGCACAAAAAAGGAAGCAACAATCCTTCAAAGATAATGATGATCAAGCATATAGAGATTCAATGAACATCATCAGCATAACAGTAATCAAATCTCAAAAACATACGGCATAACTGCTCTCACCAATGCGTTGTAAATCTGATTCTGTGAAGTTAGGGTAACACTACGACTGAGTAAAAGATGTTCAGATTAGTATGCCCTCTTAATCTACCTGAAAAATGTATGTGGAGAGCCTTCAAGATGCTGATAAACATATCAGATACATTCTTCTTCAACAAATAATTTTAGAGCATAGACCTCTACATTTACTATTTCTTTTGTTTAGTTTTGCTGTATTGATTTTATTTATGAATTTAGAGTGTTGTAATGTGTGAATAATAAATAAACCGATAAACTTTTGTGCAAGATTGTATTTAAGACCATTTCGTTTATCCGCCCGTCTATCGATTCCACCACTAGTGATTAGGAATATTTTCTTTATGCCGAATTTCGTTGAGATTACAAATCGATTCTAAGTTAGACAACAACTAAAAACCGATAGCAATGGACGACTGTTCTATCCCACTATAGGACTCCTCAACAGTCCACGTTTACGCCCTTGCAACTGAGAATTAAACTCAAAACGTTAGGTCTCGAACGCGAATGCTTATCCCCCACTGAGCCGGAATCCAGTGATATATAAGTCTAACTTCAATTAGCCCACGATATTGCGCTAACGGTCATCCAGTGCTTCTAGGTTTACAATAGTTGTCTAACTTAGATAGCTTCGTGATTTCAATGAAAATACTTTGAAAATTATGCAAACATTTTAGTTCTGCAAATCGGGGAGGTGTTGTATCAATGAAAGAGATGTATGGTAAGAGATTCATCATGAGAAACGCAGTGTCCTAAGAGACAGAAAGAGGAAGATGATGGTCAGTGAAGTCAGTAATCCAATGAAATCTAAATAAAAGTGCAAAGAATTTGACTCAATTTTAGGCGAGGGGATAGAAAAGAAATTCATCACCTACCTAGGTATAATTTTTCCTTCTTTCACACCTAAACGTACGATTTCCATTGCATTTGTAATATCATTACGGCTATTATATGCCATACATATATTTAGTATTGATCTGTGAAGAAAATGAAAAGGAAACAACTAAGAAAAAAAATTCAACCAGTAAATACAGTCATCAAAGTAGAAGATGACACAAATCTGCACCAGGTCAAAATCTCTATAATATATCAATACAGCAGAATGAAATGAGTCAATATTGTGACTGGTTGGAAAAAGAGAAGACGCGATCATTCTATGATATGGCGTCGTTTTGTGAAAACTGACATTTGTCGGTTATTCCCGATTTCCTGGTTGGGATCCTAAGGATAGTGAAACACAGTGCCTTGAGACATTATCAGACATGACTTAGACTAAAAGCTAGTGGTGGGTATTGCTGTAATTTTCTTTCGATTTCCATATAAAAGTCATAAGGACTTCTTTAACTGGAGGAATTCTTTCTGGTTGTAGTTCTCGCACTTGAACTGCTTCTCACATTATTTACTACTCTCATACACTTATTTTAACTTATTTGTTGTTTTTTTATTATAGTAATTTCAATGGTTAAGATCATGAGTCAGTTGAAGCTAGACCACCATGGAAAACCTGGAAGCACTGGACAGCCGTTTAGTCCTATTGTGAGACTCCTCAGCAGTGCGCATCCACGATCTCGCCCTCTGCGAGATTCGAACCCAGGACCTACTGGTTTCACGCGCGAGCACTTAACCACTAGACCACTGAGTCGGCCGGTATCTAACAGTGTGCATGTCTAACTTCAACTAATCCACGAAATTGAGCGACATATCCACCATTGTCTTCAGTGAGTTACTATTTCACAACAGACCTGGTTGAACTCCACTGATCACTACTTTTTATTATGTTCACTTTCTTCCGTCTTTTCAAAATCTCATTTTCTGATTGTGTGGCGGCATATTTATTTTGGTGCCCATTTGTATCGACAAACAAGATGAATGGAAAAGAAGTTGGGATAATTAATATTGTTCATGATAACGAGAAAAACTGAAGTTTGGAGAATATGGCTCGAGAAGTAATGGTATATTAAAAATATATATATTGAGAGGAAGATGAAAAACGAATACATTTACGCTTATGAGACTGATTGTGAGTCATGTTGCTTTATGTTTTCAATGACTGACTTCAATCAACTAATGTGAGTCTACTGACATAGCTCAGTTTCATAGTTATTGATTTTGTTGATGAACAGTGTGCATAATTTGCCTTATTCCAACTTCTTTCCAACCTACTTTGACAGTTAACATTGTATATTAAAATAGGTGGTAGTTAAGTAAGTGACATATGTCACATACTCTTCAGTCGGTGAAGATTCAGATTTATGCTAACCTAATCTTCATCTTTTCCGAGTACACTATATATAATCTCAGAATCGCTTATTTTTGTGTTCTACTAAACGCGAGCAGTGTTTTGAAGATATCTGGTAACCAACAAATATCCGCTACTTCCAAAAACTATTCGCATAAATAGGATTATATATATCTTGTTAGCCAGTTTCCAGGTTAAATAATATACGTAAGTTAGTGTTGAATAAAATTGTGGAGACGTTAATTTTTTTTTACTGACTTTGAATGATTCCTAGTAACAAGCATTAATTGTGCAGCCAAACTTTGAACTTTTGCTGGTAGTAATGCTAAATTTCCAATAACACGAATACATATATCATCTTCTTTCAATTCATCTCTAAAAAGGAAGTAATATAATGGTTAAGGGAAGAGTGATAATCAGTCAGTCAGTAAGCTACAACGTAGGACCAGGCACATATATGCATCGGTCCAAGTTGCCATACCTCACTCATTAACACAACAAGATGAACACCAGATTCATAAAAGTTGTTAATTCAGAGGTGGTGATATATAAAAGAAAGATTTCAATAAGGATATAGTACACGAAGAAAGAATTAGTTCGTGAAAAGAGGCATATGAAGTGATTTTAATCTCACAGTTTAAGAGAAGACAGGGAGTGTATACACAGACGCCATTGTGATCGATTCTGAGCCATGTCACCGACAGTCTCCAACCATTGGTTACGATAGTCACATGGATTCCAACCAAGTAGACTGTATCTATCAACATGGCTCAGACTAGAAGTTAGTGATTTCAAGCATTGATGCCACGTTTTGGTTTGACCGCCCCTAACTTTTTTCCAACCATCCCGTACACCAGTTAGCAGTGCACATCGTGGTAATCAGTGTTCAGGCATACGTAACACGTGGCTCAACCATCTCATTCGATGGAGATTCACAACCTCATCAACTGATTTACCATCATTCCCTAATACCCTGTGTCTAACCTTACTGTCACTTACCCGGTGATCCCAGCAGACGCCAGCAATATTTCAAAGACATCTGTGGTCAGATATTAGTAACTTACGAGTATCTTCTACTCTTAATAGCCACGTTTCGCGGCCGTAAAGTAGAACAGAACGAACTGCTGCGCAGTATACACACTCCTTCATTGATAGACGAATATCTTGCCTTCGCCATAGGTGAGGTAAGTTGGCAAAAGCCAAACGAGCTTTTCAAATCCGTGCTGAGATTTCGTCAAACACCAACCCGTTTGGGCTGATCAGACTTCCAAGATAAGTGAAGTTGTCAACGCGTTCGACTACTTCACTTCCTATCCTTAGTTCAGGTATCGACGCAGGCCAGTCTTGAAGTAAAAACTTGCATTTAGAGGGAGAGAAGTGCATTCCAAACATTCTGACATTGTTGCTTAGTGCTACCAAAACACTCTGCATTTTATCAGCGTCTTCGCCAAACAGGACTATGTCATCTGCGTATATCTAAGTCGATAAGTGAACCTCCTGGTAGGAGGTCAATACCCAAGAATTCAGTCGACGAGAATGTTATTTCCATCAGTAGGTCTATGGTGAAGTTAAACAAAAATAGAGAAAGTGGATAGCCTTAATGGACACCACTTGAGGTTGCAAAACCAGATGACAGTTCGCCATAAGCTCTGACTCGACTAGTAGTGTTCGAGTAAAGTCTTCACAGGGTTTATGTACTTCTGAGGTACGCCTTTCAGTGACAGACACTGACACAGCATCTCGAGGTCTACAGAGTCAAATGCTGCTTTCAAGTCAAGAAAGACCACCATTGTTGGACGCCGATAAGTATGCCTGTGTTCTAGAACCTGACGGATGGTGAATATGTGGTCAATGCAGCCACGACCATGTCTGAAGCCAGCTTGATTCTCTCGTGTTTGCAGTTCACGAGTCTTAGTTAGGCGTCTGATAATTATTGAGGCCAGTATTTTAGATACTATATTAGTTAAAGTAATCCCTCTATGGTTGTCATAGAATGATTTTAACCCTCTCTTATATATTGGGACGATAGGTGATTGTGACCAGTCAGATGGAATAACGTCTAACTCCCAGATTTTAGCTAAAATATTAGTCAACCTAATCGATAAAAGAGTGATAATAATAATAATAATGGTACTTCTTACTTATTATCTAGTAACTCTTGAAGTTTTTCTTCAGCTAAATTCATTAAAAATGAAACTTCTTCATGAGATCTATTGAAATTGTCTATACTAAAAGTAAATATTGATACTTCTTCAATGCCAATATCACGACACCATTGTAAAGTCTAAAAAGAATATCAATAAATATGTTTAGATAGAATGAAATTTGAAAGAAAAAAAAACGACATACCTCAGAGAGTTTTGTAAAACCATGTAAATGACCATCAGATTTTTTTAACATTTTACTATCAGCAAACCGTCTATTCCCATCCATAATAAAAGCAACATGTTTTGGAATTGGTCCATATTTAATAGCATGTAGACATAGTTTTTGTATTATTCCATATTGTACTTCAGAACGAGTCCAAGTCATTGAAATTCTATGAGATACAAATAGTAAATAACATATACTATGGATTTAAAAGCAAGTATTCCACAAAATAAATACAAAAACTAGTTACTTTTCAAACAGAAAAGCGGAACTGATAGAAACTAACTGGTAATCGGAATGCGAACACAGAAATCTACTCTAAAAAACATTAAGAGTACAAGATACTCGTAAGCTACTAGTATTTGACCACAGATGCCTTAGAAATATTACTCACATCTGCTGGGATCACCGGGTAAGTAATAATGAGGTTAGACGCAGGGTATTAGGGAATGATGGTAAATCAGTTGATGAGGTTGTGAATCTTCATCGACTGAGATGGTTGGGTCACGTGTTACGTATGCCTGAACACTGATTACCACGATGTGCGATGCTAACCGTTGTTGGGGATGGTTGGGAGAAGGTTAGGGGCGGTCAAACCAAAACCTGGCATCAGTGCTTGAAGTCAATAACTCCTACTCTGAGCCATGTTGGGAGATGCAGTCTACTTGGTTGGTGTCCGCGTGACTATCGCAACCAATGGTTGAAGACTGTGTGTGACATGGCTCAGAATCGATCACAATGGCGTCGGTGTATACACACTCTGTCTTCTCCTAAACTAATTCTTTCTTCCTGTACTACGTCCTTATATATAATCTTTCTTTTATATATCACCACAACTGAATTAAATACTTTTATGAATTCGGTGTTCATGTTGTTGTGTTAATGAGGTATGGCAACTTGGACCGATGCATATATGTGCCATGTCCTAAGTTGTAGCTGAATGACTCCAAAAACATGATGGATTTGATTCAAATCGTATCTAGAGGCTTTGCTTTATTCACCTTATTTTAACGAATTGATGCTAAGCCTCTTAAGACATTGCATTATGTTGCTGATTAAAGAAATAAGATTAGTAATATTCAAGTGCCTATGATAATTGCTTCTATACAATAAATTATGGAGAACCTGTGAGACTGAAATCACTTTGACTGACATATTTCCCCTTACACAGTATCTCGTCCTTTTGCTGGAAATGTGAAAATTACGGTTTGAGTTTTTTAAACGACTTGAGCCTAACTTCAAATTTCTGGATAGAAAGAAACGTAACATATTGTGTAACCTTGAAACCAAGTTTTCTACTTATGTTATCCAAATGGGATGGCTACCAGATAAAATTTAAAGTAACAGGAATAGATGTGAAACAACCTTTAAATAAACGAGTCCAACTTAAATATGACCAGAGTTAATACACAAATTAACCAAACCAAATATTTACAGTACTGTGTAAATTGTCTAGCTAAATTTTATTTATTTGAACACATAAATATTGGCACAACAGGGCACCAAATATATATGCGCCACACTGTTATAATCTCTCTCTTACGGTTATAACCCAGCTATTCCTATTGCTTAGTATTCTCGGACACCAAATTACTCGACAAGTCCCCAAATCAGAACACGGTTAAACAGGAAAGAAATTATATTCCAAATAACAATGTTAGATGGAAGCAAGAACCAAGTAAGTAAGTACAATAGGGAAAACGTTAGTACATTTATAGTTTTTCACATGAGATTTCTAGTGTTCACTAAGTATTGGCTAACGCTGATTGGATAAGAATTAGCCAATCAGCGTGCAGTAAAGCAATCGTGCATTGAGCATGCTTTAATCCGGTCTATGTCCAGCTAACACACAAAAAACAATGAGAATGGGAAGAGAAAAAGAAGGTAAGGGGCGTATAAGAAAAAGAGAGAACAATAACGACCACAGGTTAGTGTAAAGTAGTGTAATAATAATAATAGTAATGGGGGAAACAGAAAGGCACAAGCAAAAAGTATTCTTTCAGTTAAGGAAGATACAGCCACTTTTTATGAAAGTAAAACAAGGTTACAGCAGGATCGCCACTGGCTTCTATTCTGAGCCATATCTGATAACGTCTATAGCCACTGTGTTGCACCATCTCTCAGATCACAGCCAGAGAGTTGTGAAGGACCAACAAAAGCCAGACCTTTGTAGCTTTCTTTCATACTGCGACACTATGTCATACACTGACTACCTCTCCGCTTTCTCCAACCAGTCCCAGAGTCGGCAAATAATGCACGACGTGGGATTCTCTGGGACGACATTCTTAGAACATGTCCAAGCCACCGAGGTCGATGTTTCAAGATGGTGAAACCGATTGCATTATCGTCTCTGTGTCCGAATACACGATGCCGAACCTCTGCATTACTGACATGGTATTGTTACTGGATGTCAGCAATCCTTCGGAGACAACGATGATCAAACACAATGAGTCGTCTAACATCCTCAACTCGGAGATGCCAGGATTCACAAGCATAAAGCAAAACTGCTCTCACCGACGCATTGTAAATCCGACCTTTTACGGCCACACTGACATTACGAAGGCGCCAAAGGTGGCTCAGATTGACATAAGCAGCTCTGGCTTTCACTATACGTGCATTGATTTCATCACTCACACCCCCACCAGCACTCATACAGCTACCCAGATACACGAACTTCTCGACTATTTGTACCTGCTCACCATCCAGGGTCAGTACAGGATTAGAATCCTGCCAGTCTTGTAGAAGTACTTTGCACTTCGAAGGTCCAAAGCACATACCATACCTACGGACAGTGATTGCCAACTGATTAAGTGCGGATTGCATGGCTTGGGCATTATCGCACAGTAGGACAATATCATCCGCATACTCAAGCTCGAGAAGTCTTTCTCCAGGCAACAGATCCACACTGCCATTACTTGCACCCATCAGAACTGTTTCCAGAATGTCGTCTATGGCAAAGCTGAAGAATGATGAGATTGGGCAACGCTGTCTAACCCCACTTCTCGAATAAAACAATGGAGAAAGGTTGTTGTATGCCCTCACTCTACCTGAGGTATTTGCATATAGGGCTTTTAGGATGTTAATGAACTTCTCAGGTACACCCTTCTTCAATAGACAATCCCAGAGAACAGTCCTGTCCAACGAATCGAAGGCAGCCCTGATGTCAAGAAACAACGATTGTTGGCCTTTGATAAGTATGGCGGTGTTCTAACATTTGGCGGAGGGTGAAGATATGATCAATACATCCTCGACCAGAACGAAACCCAGCCTGCTCCTCGCGAGTCAATCTTTCTTGGGTTTTGAACAACCTATGAAGTATGACGGAAGCCAATAGCTTGGACGCAATCGGAAGTAGACTTATCCCCCGATAGTTGTTACAGGAACGACGTGAACCCTTTTTAAAGATAGGGACAACTATCGACTCATTCCATGACGTTGGTACACTCTCTAGTTCCCAGACCTCTGTAAACAACACAGATATGTATATATAAGTGTGCGAAAGTTGAAGGCAGACAGTTTGAATAGTGCACGTGGTTCCAGAAGAACTGCTTCAGTATTCGTATTTGGTGGTAGCATACAATTTTCAACCAGGCAGTGACTCGAGAATGTTTAGATAGAACCGAGTTTCCACCATAGGCGAGCTGGTGTATAAGTGGAAAAATAGCGATACATAGTGGGAATAAAAGAGAGTGAATAAATGACGTAGCAAATAATAACAATAATAATAATAATAATGAGGATCATTTGACTGTAAACCGAATCGAGAATAAAGTTTTCAGTAAATACCATCATTTTCATTATATTTGTGTGTGGGCTGTGATACTGCCCGGGTGCCCAGACCGAAGCAGGTGGTTTTCTCAGGGGGCCACACCCCGAGCCTTCGACCTAAAAGTCTAACCCATAAGGCAGTGGAGCATCGTAAGGAGATCCAGTCTCATGGTGGCCAGTGATCAACGATTGGTTCATACGCCATTTATTCCTACAGAATACTGGATCCCATGTACACCATTGGTTTGGGATCCGGTTAAAGCGCCGGACATTCGCTTTTCGTCCTCTCATTTCCGTAAACAACAGTGATGCCACAAGAAGTCAGTGAGTAGGACTTCCCTGGCAGAGGCTGTATACGCATGACCGCGTGAGAGCATTTCGAGAGGGAGGGCGGGCCCACCCCGCTCTCAGCCATACCAGGGCATTTGGGAGCAGTTTAAAGGAAGACAGAGAGTGTATACACTGACACCACTGTGATCGATTCTGAGTCATGTCACCCATAGTTTCCTTATATCTCATAGTTAAGTTCTGGAAAACTCTAGGTTAGATTACAAACTCCCAGTGAAATATTTCACGGTTATGTATCTGACCACATCTAATCCTGACTAGGTTATGAACTTAACGCCTTTTAAAGATCAGTGCCCCCAAATTCCTTGGTACGGTCGAGGGTGGGGGAGTCCACTCACCTCGAAATCCTCTCACATGGCCGCGCGTATACACTCACTGCCAGGGAAGTCCTACTCACTGTCTTCTCAGGGCGGGGGTGACACGTAAGAGCAAAAACGCGAAAGACGGCGACTTGTTACTATGCGGATAGAGATGATGGCGCAGATCACTGGTAAATTATAGTTTTCTATTATCTTGGACCAAACTTTACGGGACTTGAATTAAGACAAGATCGGATAACAATCATTCGTGCACGAGATATACGGCTAAACAATATTAGATGTAAATGCCTAATCGTCACTCATTAGCGCCGAAGTACTCGAGTTGTAGTCAAAAATTATAAAAAGTCGCGATAACTTCTTCAAAATTGTTAGCGCTACATGAAGAAAAGCCACTCAACAACTATTCAAAAACAAGTAAAAAAGCTTCGGAGGTGAATAAATCTTGATTTTGAGCCTGTAAACCCACGAACCATATAAAAGTATGTTGTACATTAGACCTAACTATTAGATTCCATTTATCTAATTTATGTGGTTAGTAGCTAGCAACAGGCACAAAATCATAATTCTGATTGTAGGGACTTTTAAAAATGCGATTTAGTTTCAAGCGCTAAAAAAGTTAGCCTTTCTTGACGACATGTAGTCTTTTAATTGCCTCTGCTGTTGAAAATATGAAATCTATATGTTCCACGTCAAAGAAAACAGGCATGTAGTCGTCATACTCACGATCAACGAA